CAGCATCAGATCACTGCAGGTAGATGGATTAATCTTACCAAGTAATTGACGAGTTCCAAACACAATAGCTTGCGTTTTAACTGAGTTCAACTTAAGTCCGTATCTCCGACACCAGTTCAAGACGTTAGATAGATCGTTATTAAGTCGCACAATAGCTGCCGAAAATTCAGCAACAGTTGTAGTAGTATATATCTGGAGGTCGTCAGCATACAAATGATAATTACACGAGATATAATTAGTAACATTATTAACGAACAAAGATAAATGTAACGGACCCAATACACTGCCCTGAGGAACACCACATTTGATTGCACAAGCAGAAGAAATTGAAGAGTTAGCGCGTACGCACAAGGAGCGATGGGAAAGGTAGGATTGAAACCAAGAAACACAGGGGGGAATGAATCCGTAGGCAGAAAGAGACGCTAAAAGAAGGCTGTGGTCAACAGAATCAAAAGCCTTGCTGAAATCGAGCAGTACTAGCACAGTAACACATCTGTTGTCGCAGGCATACCTAATATCATCAATAACTTTAATGAGGGCAGTAGTTGTACTATGCCCACTGCGAAAACCCTGACATTCACGAGACATATTAGTGGACTTCTACAGCGTGTATATTCTGCTATCAAGATCTTATACAGGGTGAATTATTAGTATCCCGGCGGTCGATACAAAAGTTGTTTGACTCATGACTTTCTGTTACGTAAAATTATTTTCACTTAGTTCACCATTTAAGCGTAACGGAGAGTACATTTTTAAATGGAACTGTCTGTATATTTTATCATATTATGAAAACAACTAAATTTGTTTATACAACCGTATATGTTACTATTTCACAGCGTTCATAGTTCCTGAGATATTCAATTGTTCTTCCAAAATGTGCCCATTACAGACAGGATCTATTTAAAAATGACATTTTTTCCGATTTTGTCTTCAAACTACGTCAGACAATAGTCAAAGACAGTAGATAGATGATGGTATTCAAAGATATTAGATAAAATATACAAGCTGTTTAAAAAGCTCAGTTACTTTTGATGTTTTTCAAATGACTTTTTCTTAAGTTTTTTTAAATGGAACAGCCTGCGTGTTGTGTGCTACTTGAATTGCTCTTCAAGTTCCCTTTAATTAATGATAAGTATGTCATATGTCTAACTTTAATAGTTTTCCTGATATTTAGAATTTAAAGAAAAATGTGTAATGAAATATGCGTTATTGTACTTAATATTATATTCTGTCTATTTTTATCAGTTTTTTGTTCTTCTTTTTTTTATTTGATTAATATTTTATTATGCAAAATAATTTTGCTCCGATCATTATTAATATTTATTAAAATCTGGTATATTTTAATGCGACTATGATTCGCTTTATCAAGCTTAAAACAAAAATTGTTACTCCCTTTGTCCTAAATTATGGTATACAAAACTTTGAAAACTGCTTTATTGTATTTGTAAAATTACAATACATTAATACATACATTAATGAAAATTTTACACATTTAAACACAATTCAGCTGTTTCAATGGCAGTTGGTTGCACATAATAGAAACAGGTAAACGGTCTTCACGGCGAAATTTTTCTTTATTCATGTGCTCAATTTTATAGTTGCTGCCTCCTTTTATAGGTCCTTATGGTTGACTCCATGCACTTTTGTAGTGTCAAGAATACGTTATCTAATTTTTCTTTAGTTAATGCGTCGAAGGCACTTTCAACGCAATCTATTAATTCATCCATAGTTTTTGGCAATGTTTGGTGCTGCAAAGACTGAATAGCATTGAAGAAACCAAGGTCTAAAACATTCTAATCAGGACTATTCGGCTGTGATTTGAATTTAATACACCATCCATCTCTTGATCCTTCGGCCAGCAATTCTGCATCGTTTTTATAAGAATGCTGTTTTGCATAATCTTGTTGAACACAAATTGTCTTGGTTGTAATGACTGGTAAAACGTTATCGATAATCATCTTTTTGCATTCTGCTATAGACTCGATTTTTTTGGTCACCATTGTTCATCTCGCCCGGTTCTTGCTGTTTCTTTTTGCAGGTTCTTTATAAACAAAAGGCCAGAGTCCTATTTAGCCGTTGAAATATTATTCTCTGGCACTGTCATAGCGTGGTGTGGCTTAGTTATGAACCGTTTGCTTTTACAGTGCCTTTCTGGTTCTGCTTAGTCCAGCGTGATGTAGTGTGAGTGTTTATTTTGCGATAAGTAGAACCACTTTTCAATTTGCGCCAAGAAAACGAGCAGCATAACGAGTGCTGAGTTCATCTTCCACCAAAACCACTCCCTGAGCAACTTCTACAAGACTTTAAAGGCATTCAAAAAGTTCAAAAGTTATTGCAGTTTGAAACTGGTCATCATTTTAGGTGATGCGTTTTTTATGCCGCTGAGTGTATATCAGTTAATTTTAGCTTTATTATTTGGACATTCTCTTATTCAATAACTAAATATGCTAATTAATACAGATAACTCAAGTGATTTAGACAAATTTAATGATTCAATTTAGATTCGGTATCACTAATTTCCATTGTACTGTTTTTATTAAATACAATTTTATCAACAGTTGTTATTGAAGTGATGACAAATAGAGTTATTATTATTATCCTTATCTACTTCCTAATTTTTAACATCATCTTATTTTTGATGTAATAATAAAACAAAAGAACATTCATGAAATGAAAGCAAAGTAGTTGAAAGTTTTGAAACACCCTGTACATATTTAAAGCTATCAATAAAAGTATCAAGTTTTGTTTATTAGATACATATAGGTAAAAAAAAACATACTTGACTCATATCGTTATCCAAAGTATCTATTTCAAAAATAAAAGGTAAATAACACATATGTTGGTTCAATACAAGTCTATATAGACTTGAAATAAACACATACTTACTCACTCGTTCCATTTGTTCGTTATTTTTCAACCGACCGCATCAAAATTCCTCATTTCACATTCGTTGCAGTCGTTTGAAAGTTTAGTGCTCAATCGCGCGGCTCGGTTTCGGTTGGGTCTTTGCCAACAGTCGTTCGACAGGAACATTTTGGCCGTGGCCCCTCCAAGGTGTGGCACACTGCCTCCGACCTGTCAAATAACAGTATTACTAAACAGTGTCGGTTTTATTTAGTTTTCCAATAGCGGCTCCCGCAAAAATGGTCGTAAAAGTATACGTTAGCGGTATTTCGGGTAACAAGGAGGTAAGAAACGATTCTCAAACAACAATAATAATACTAAATATGTGAGATAATGATTTTTTTGATGATTTAGGTGAAGAAGCGACAACAACGAGTACTTATGATACTCGAATCGAAAAATATCAAGTACGAAGTGTTGGATATTGCTGAACCCGGTAATGAGGAACACAAGGATTTTATGCAGAATAATTCCACATCGTTGGGGGCCACCGTAGGAGATGCCAATCCGAGGCATCCTTTACCGCCACAACTTTTTAATGATTCCGCTTATTGTGGGGTTTGTATCTATTTTAAACGAGACTTCACAAAGACTGATTGTCCTAGATCATTTTATATCTTGAACACTTGATGAATCATTACTTACTAAATTTATCCATGACACTTTAAGTATTTGTACAATTGCAAAAAAAACTATTATTCCACAACTTCTTTTATAATGAAGCAACTTTTTTTTATAACCTCACTTTTTTAAATGTCAAATTAATTATAAATATCAAAATTAATTAATTTATAACTTTTCCACCAATATTTATTAAAGAAGAATAAAAAATCAATAATAAAGTAGATGTTTTCATTAAAATATCTTGAATATGATTAAAATTTATAAAAATTTTTGTAAAAATATAGGTTATGTTTTAAGTCAAATTATTATAGTATTTTTTTATTATAGGATTATGATCAATTTGATATGGCAAATGAAATAGATGAATTAGAGAAGTTTTTAAAAACGACTGATGATTCAATTGTAACAAGCAGTGCAGAGATTAAATTGGGTAATGGAAATAATGAAGTTGAAGAGAACAACAAGGAATCGGAGACAATCTCATCGACGGCTAATGAAGAAGAGACCAATGGTGATACAAAAAATGTATCCAACGAAGTTGAAAATGATGCCAATGAATCCAATGAGGTTGTGACTGAACAAGATTCATAAAGATCAATAACAAACGTACTGATTTATATACACATATAAAAAGAAAGATATACATTGCCTATTATTGCTGTATAATGTTTTTATTGTCAGTTCTATTTTTCATGATTTTAATTCTGTTCTGTTTATTATTTTGTACTTGAAAGTATAATATTATTGTAAAATTATTATATGTTTGCTAGTTATCGTTAGATACAGTTGGAGAGAAGCCTCCATGTTTCATAACATAGCTAGTACAAAGTTAATATTAAAGAAAAGCTTATATACCAATAATCTATTATCTTAGTACATAGAAATCATAGTCCATTTCAATATCATTTCTTTTTAGGTAAATGGTTTCACTTATGCTTTATTTTCAACGAAATCTTACATATTTTCTTTTTGTTAAATGTTAAAAGTTAAGATCCATTTTGTAAATATACTTTATCTTATTATATTTTAAATATACTTTTGAATTTTATTTTCAGTTTCCTCTTTAGGTTACATTGATTTTTTATAATTCTTAATCGGATGTTTTGATAAACTTATAATAAAGTATATAAAATTAGATGTTTTGTTACATCAAAAGTTACATCATACAAAAAGGGGTCCAAGAAAAATGTTTTGAATGACACAAAACATAACCTTAATTTTATTTTAAACTTCATTCTTAATTTAAATTCAACAAAAAAAATTCCATTACTCTTTATCTGTAATTTAAAACACGCATTAGATAAGTTACTAAAAGAAATCAAAACTAAAGATAAACTTGTTTCTTAATAAATATCTAAATGAATCATTTTGACAATTTAATTTAACTTATAACATGGCCACGGTTCTATTTATTAATAAAATTGCCCATCAACGTTTAAGTCTTCAACTGAAACTCTTAAATTATCGATCCTTTACTAATTATTCAAGAAATTCCCAATTTTTATTAAAAAATACCCCCTCAGTTCAACATTTACAAACGGTAAGATTTTTTTTGAGGTTATGTTTGATAGAAAGTAAGGTTATCTAACCACAATTTATTTATTTTTTTAATTTTCTTTTTAGTCATGCGTTACTACGACGAAAGAACCAGATAAGGGACAAAAAGCAGGAAATACTATAGTTCTTTCCAAAGCATTTTCAAAGCTTAAAGCTTTTTCACCCAGCCCTAAAAAACAGCCTGTAAGAGGATGTTTTCACCCAGGTGTTTCAACACTTTCCAGGGATACGATTCAATTAGATGGAAAGGGGCAAGTTTCAGGGAAGCAAATGGTCAAAGCAATGCTTCAATATATTTGGCCAGCTGATGATAAAGCAATAAGACAAAGGGTTACTGTAGCGTTGAGTTTATTAATAAGTGCAAAGGTTATGAATGTAGCTGTACCTTTTATATTTAAGTATTCGGTAGATTATTTGAATGCAGGGCAAGCACTTAATATGAATTCTGCTCCGGAAACTATTACTACAGTAGCCGCATCTCTTTTATTAGGGTGTAAGTAATTTTTTGGATGAAAACTTCAAATAATTATTTTAAGTACTTATTTAATTTAGTAATTTTTGTATAAATTGTTTAAAAACTATTTTGTAGACGGAATAGCAAGAGCTGGTGCAGCAGGTTTTAATGAATTACGAAATGCAGTCTTTGCAAAAGTGGCTCAACGATCTATACGAAAAATTGCGAAAAACGTTTTTGTACATTTACATAATCTTGACTTGGGATTCCATTTAAGTCGACAAACAGGTTTGTTTTAAAACAATTTTAGTCACGTAAAAGCTTTAATTTAAATTTAAATTTTTATAGGTGCTTTATCAAAGACAATTGATCGTGGCTCTCGGGGAATAAACTTTGTGCTATCAGCTATGGTTTTTAACATTGTTCCAACAGTTTTCGAACTCGCCCTTGTTTCTAGTATTTTAGGCATAAAATGTGGATTAGCTTTCGCAGGAATTTCAATGGGTTGTGTTGGAGTTTATAGCGCTTACACTTTAGCAGTCACACAATGGCGCACAAAATTTAGGGTTTATATGAATAAAGCTGAAAATGAAGCTGGGAATAAAGCAATTGATTCCTTAATTAATTATGAAACTGTTAAGGTAGATATTTGCTTTTTTTGGGGGGGAAAAAATTAAAAATTAATTTTTAGTATTTTAATAATGAACAATTTGAAGCTGATCGCTATGATAGTGTTTTAAAGAAGTATGAAGATGCTAGTTTGAAAACTAGTACCAGTTTGGCGGCACTTAATTTTGGGCAAAATGCTATCTTTAGTGCTGCATTAAGTGGGATTATGATTTTAGCTGCCAATGAGATTGTAAAAGGTACTAAAAAAAGTTTGCTGTACAAATACAGGATGTTCCTGTAAGTTGTGGCATAATTTTAATCACAAATTCTAAATTTTTAAACATTTTCTTAAATATTTTTAATATAGTTTTTCTTAGAAAGATAAAATTTGGTAAACAGTGCAATTTTATCATGAAAAATCGTTTAAGATCACTTTTGAAAATATGCAAAGTTTGTTTGTATATTTTTCGACAGTTAAAGCGTAATTCGGCATTCAAATTAATTAATCTGTTTCTTGATTTTTACTCTTAAAAATTTTTGTTTTTAGATACAACCTCGATTATGAAATGTTTTCATTAATTGTAGGTGTCTATGAAAACAAACTATGTATGTAACTGGAACAGTAAAGCAAATCGGTAATAGTTGTTTAAAACAACTCCTGCAGTCGTTTTTTTCCATGTACCATGCGTAGTTTCTTTGATTTCGAGGTTCAGGTCTGTGTTATTTACACGTTGGTTTATTGTATATGACGTTTTTGCTAAATTTTTGTAAAAGAAGACCTAGTTCAGTTTACTGGACTTTGAATTTCTATGTTCTGTACCAACCAATGAATTTCTGAATTTCTTCAAAGTCTCTATTTTCTTTTTCTAAATACAACGTAATGTGCTATACAAACCAAAATGAATACAACAGCTACCCAAAAATATTACAAAACATAATTATTCTGCACTGTACCAGATTCTGAAGCATGGATCTACGCATAAACCAGGATATTCTGGACATATTGGGCAGTTGTATTTTGATTTCTTGTCAACTGGAACTGTCTCCAGATAATGGAATTCTGATTTGTGGTTAGCCTAGTATATCCATCATCGACCTGTAGCATATCCTTTATAACTTCTTTGTACATTAATAACAAAAGTGGCCATTTCCATAAAACACTTTTTTCAGGAAAGCATAAAAACTGTAGCAGCAAAAATAAGAGTTCAAACATCTTACAACCGTTTTAGTTGCGACTTAACATATAAGATCATCATTATTTATGAATCAAAATGAAATATTTCAAGCTGTTTCAAGCTCAAAATTTTAGCATTAACTTTACTTTTCCAATCAAGATCAAGAACTTCACTTCCCATACCTTTGCAAAATTGTGTAAAATTCCTCTGGTTGAGAAAGTATCTTCTTCTTTTTGATGATTTTTCTATTCCTGCAAACACTTTATCGGACGGAATAAATGAACAGTTGAAGGCGCCTCGTGTAGGAGCCAGTTTCCAAGCATTAACATAAGAATCGAATTTTTGTATTGGCCTCCACAGCCATCTGCAACGCATCGTAGTAGAGATATTCTTGTAAAATCGATATGTTGCAGTCTGTGATAAACACAAGACGCTATTTGACTAAATGCTGTTGGTAACTCATGTTCTCCCCAGGTGTATAAAAAAGTGTTCCCTTTTAAAGGATCCTTGGAACTACCTTGAACAATAGAAAAGTTATATAAATAAAACTGCCGGCTGTAGTATGTCGCCTGATCAGGAAGTCTTGGAATAGCGAATTTTTTTTGACAGTGAAAGTTTATAATGAATTACCCGTCTTTTTTTTTCCTTCAACATCCGAAAGTTCGTCTTCGGAAGGCACGTAGTCTCTATCTATAAGGTCATCGTCACTGGAAAAATCGTTTCGCTCGAAATTTCTGATTCAGTAAGCTTTCTTTTTCGTCGTTGTAAATGGTCTTGATCCCTTGCCCTTGTATTTTACGTACTAGAGCTAACCATAACACAGAATCCTTTATTTATACAGTTTCAAACAAAGCAGTCTCATACTTACCCAGGAACTGCTAAACTCTTAGTTGCACTCATTGTTCTTATACAAGAAATACGACAAAAACTAACTAAACACAGCAATAAAGAACAAGAACTGGGTGTACTAATAAATGCACATGCAAACTATTCCCCATATTAGTATTTCAAGTATGAGAAAATACTTTCCCCATCATGAATCAGCCTATCACTACAGAGTTTGAAAGTACATATCTTAAGCAGTTATGGGTATAAACCAAAAATGTTTACACGAATCTTCATCATTTTAACTCTAGTATTTGTGATTAAAATCATGCAATGACTTACAGAAACACCTGTATATGCAACTTATAGCATTAATTTTTGGAACCCATTTTTTAGGGAATATGACTGTTGGTGATTTAGTCATGGTAAATGGGCTTCTTTTTCAATTATCAATTCCTTTGGGTTTCTTAGGAAGTGTTTATAGAGAAGTGAGGCAAGCCTTAATCGATATGCAAACTATGTTTACCCTTATGACAATGGAAACAGCTATTAAAGTATTTTTATCAAATTATAATTTTCATAACAAGATAAAATAATTAATTTTAGAGCAAAGAATTCGCACCTTATTTATACGTTGACTCAAAATTAGCTTCAATAACATTCGATAATGTTTCCTTCGAATATGGACCAGGGAAACAAATTTTAAAAGACTTATCTTTTACAATTCCAGCAGGAAGAAAAGTTGCTATAGTTGGTGGATCTGGTTCAGGGTAACTTTTTTTTAACATCTTTTTAATAATTTCAAAAATAATTTTTAATCTATAGAAAATCAACTTTAGTAAGACTTCTTTATCGTTTTTACGAACCAACAAATGGTCGAATATTAATCGGAGATCACGATATTCGCGAAGTTGATTTGGAAAGTCTGCGAAAAGCGATAGCCATCGTTCCGCAAGATTCCGTTCTATTCCACGATACGATCCTTCACAATTTACATTACGGCGATTTAAAAGCGACCAATGATGAAGTTATAAAAGCATCTAAAATGGCTGAACTTCACGAAAGTATTACAAAGTGGCCACAAGGATACCAAACGCAAGTTGGAGAAAGAGGTTTGAAATTATCGGGAGGAGAAAAACAAAGGGTTGCTATTGCAAGAGCTATTTTAAAAAATACACCTATTTTGATTTTTGATGAAGCTACAAGTTCTTTGGATTCAATAACTGAACAGGTTGGAAAAAAATATTTAATACTATTTTTGATATTGATTCTTTTTGCTTTGTGTAGAATATATTAAAAGCGTTGAGACGTGCAACTGAGGGAAAAACGAGTATTTGTATTGCACATCGTTTAAGTACTGTTATGGATGCGGATGAAATCCTTGTTTTAAAAGATGGTAAAATTTCCGAACAAGGTACACATTATAATTTGGTAACAGATCGAGGGACACTTTATAGTCAGTTATGGGATGCTCAAAATCATATGAAAGCTTAAATTATTTTATTAGGAAATTTGGTTTAGATAATTTTGTTATATTTTAATTTTTATTTGTTTTTTTTTGTACATTTTTTTGTACATAGTTAATTATTTTTATCGAAAACATACTCCTAAAATAATTAATACTATTATTTAAGTTTAAAAATAAGTAAAAAATGTAATATAAATAGTAAATATATTTTAAAACTATAAAATACAATTATACATGCGGTTAAACCTATTTTCGCTTAGCAAATAATATTCTAAATATGTCTAAATAGGATCAATTGAGCAGCGGACGTTGTTTCATTCGGAAGAAAAACACCAGGTGCGTATTCAATTTCACTCACCAGCGGAACTTCGTTTGCAAACAGTGGAATATTAGTCTTTAAAGTTTCCGTGGAATCCGATGTATTTTCTGTGTCTTTACTTAACTCGATTTCTTCTTTTATTGTTGTCGTTTCAGTACTTTCTGTACTTGAACTAGAATTACTCGTTGTTATACTCAAAGGTATTTCAGGCATTTTATTTTCATTGATAATTATGATTGGTCTCATTGATTGATTTGTGTCATGAACCAATTCAGAAGCTGACGGTTTTATTAAAGCTTTTAATGTATCTATCAAATCAACCGTGGTTCCATCATTTTTTATAGTAGATGTCAATTTTGTTGGTGTCGGTGGAAAATTTGTTAATTTAAATGTAATTTGATTTAATTTAGTTGTAATTTGATTTGGTTTAGTTGTAATTTGATTTGATTTAGTTGTAATTTGATTTGATTTAGTTGTAATTTGATTTGATTTCGTTGTAATTTGATCTAATTTCGTTGTAATTTGACTCGAATTAATTGACTGAGTTGTAATTTGTATTGGTTTAGTTTCGCTTTGAATTTTATTACTAACTAAACTAGTATTTTGAGTTATATTTTGCAAAGTCGTAATTGGAGTATTCGTAGTCGTTACCAAACTGCATAAATTACATTGTCTTTTTGCAGAAACTTTTTCATTTGCATCCTTCTTTAATATTTTACAACCAGGCGTGGCTTGTGCTAAAGATTTTAAGTTTTTTCTTTTTGATTCTTCCGTTGTTCTTTCTTTTTTGTTATGTTTAAAAATTTTAAAGAAAAAATTTTTCTTTACTGGTTTCTTTGTTGTTGTTGTGGTCGTCGTTAAAGTAGGAAAAATCGCGGTTGTTCCGCCTCCGTATTTAATTGTGAAACAATATTTGCTAACACAATTATCTTCAGTCGTTTTAGTTGTTAAATTCTTACCTACCCCTGTGGTTATTATTTTTACAGGTCCATCTAAATTGTTTATTGTTGTACTATAATAATTATTTCCAGTAGAAAGTTTTATAGTATTTTGAGTATTTAAAACAGTTGTTGAAACATTTCCTAAAGTCATTTTATTTGACACACTTCTTAATTTATCATTTGAAGATGTTACATTAGGAGGATTATATCCAACTATTTTCATGTGCATTTTACATCCAGTTCGATTTTGCGGAGATTTCCCGCTCGAGTTGTTGGTATTTCCCGCTAAAGTTGTTGCAGTACCAGTCACATCAGTTTTAGCGCCTTCCGATTTAATGGTCGAGCTACACAAATTCGTATCATTTTTATTTAAAACATTCATTCCAACATCATAAAGATCGTCGTAGTTCATTACATCGCCCAACAAATCGTTCGCTATCGCAGCAAGAACGCTACAAGGAGAAGATATTTCATCGTTATTTGTCGATTTTGTAATATTTTCAGGAGATTTTGTTGTTACGAGATAAATATTTGTCGATGCTAATAAAGTTTTATTTCCTTTCAAATTCTCATCGTTAACTATAATTTTAATTTGATTAATCGGATTATCACTTTCCATTGTCTCATTTGAAACGGGAGTTTCTAATACATTTAATGAAGTTTGAGTTACTTCTACATTTTGCTGATTTGAAAGATTAAATCCTATCATATTCATATAACATGGATCTAGTCCATTTCCTCCGGCAAGATTTGGTGGTAATCCATTTTGAGGAGGTACAAATTGTTGTAATTGTGCAATATTAGGGGGGTATTGCATTTGCGATGGATTCCCTTGATAAGGATTAAATTGTATTTGAGGATTTACCCCACTCATTTGACCTTGATATCCTTTATTATCATAACTCATCATCATATTAGGATCGTACAGAGCATATTGAGGTTGTTGTAAACTATTAATTGATAGTCCACTTTGAGCATCCGGTACGTTTTGTGATATTATATTTCCTTGATTTAAACATTCTTGTCCAGGGAAAACTAAGTTTAATCTATTAACTCCAGGTAGTAGTTTTACTTCTTGGACTTGTTCTTTACCACAAACAATTTTATTGCCTTTTTTACCTTTAACAGGATTTACACGATGAGTAACATCATTATCAAAATTTTCTGTTTGAGATATATCTTCTTCAGTATCTAACGTTTCTTTATTCTCATCGGATGATTCAGCCATTTCTGTTGATTCTGTTTCTTCACTTTCTTCAGTTTCTTTAACTTCATCTGTGTCTGTATTTTCAGTAGTTGTCTTTTTTCTGCATATCGTTACCTTTTTTCTATTACCCTTTTTATTTGTCGTCTTTGATGATGTACTTACTCCTTCAGAAGTTGATTCTGAGTTTCCTTTAGTTGTTTCTGAGTTTCCTTTGGTTGTTTCTGAATTTTCTTTGGTTGTTTCTGAGTTACCTTTAGTTGTTTCTGTCCCATTCGTTTTCTCTGCATTTGTTGTTTCTGTATTATTAACTTCAACGGTTTTAGTCGATTCTTTCATCGCTCCTTCAGTTTTATCTTTCTCCGAACTTGTACTGCCTTCTTTGGCACTTACAGCTGCTGGTGTGGATACCGTTGTTTGATTTGCTTCTGTACTTGCTTTATTTGTTGTAGTTTCAGATGGTTTTTCTGTAGTTGTGGTTTTATTTTTATCATCACTTTCTTTTGTGGTCGATGCAGCCGTTGTTGTTATGGTAGTTTCTGTGACATTTTCTTTCGTAGTTTCTGTTGCTTTTGTAGTTGATTCACTACTTCCTTTTTCAGTAGAACTTGCTTCTTTTGTAGTACTTTCACTTTTTTTTGATGTTTCTTCTTTAGTGGTTGTTTCAGAACTCTTTGATTCCGTAGTTTTATTTTCCTCTTTCGTTGTGCTTTCTACAGTCGTTGTTTCTTCATTTTCTTTATCTTTTTTACTACTTTTCTGACTAGTACTAGTTTCATTATTTGTTGTGGATTCTTTTGCTGTTGTTTCTTTGTCGTTATCCTTTATAGTAGTGTCTTTATCTTTCGTTTTAGTTTTATTTTTCTTATTATCTTTTTCCTTTTTCGTTGTGGCACCTTCTTTCTTATTAGATTCAGTTGTTCCTTTATCTTTCTTTGTAGTTTTTGTTGTACTTAATTTCTCAGTGGTGTTTGTAGATTCATCACCAAAAATCTCCGCATCGCTCGTTTCTGATTCTGTTGAGCTACTTTCTGTTGTTTCTTCTTCATCTTTTCCTTTTTTAGTACTCTTAGGTTTCTTTGTACTAACATTTTCCTCATCTAAACAAATACATGTTGTTTTAATCTCCTCTTTATCATCTTCTTCACTTACTTTTAACGGAGTGGTAACATCCCCATCATTTTCTTTTGATGAGTCATCTTCTAATTCAGTTTCCGAATTAGTTGTTGATTCTGTATCACTTTTTTTTGAAACAGATTCACCACATGGACATGAACACGACGTTAAATCAGAACTTTCAGTATTTTCTGAATTAGTTTCATTAGCAATATTGCGACTTTTAACATCTCTAACTTTATTTGTGACGCTTTTAGTCGTTAATTTCGATGTTCCATTAATTCTTAACTCAGTTACCATAGGGTTAGCTTTCAATATATTTAAAGTACACATTTTATTTGATTTGATTGTGTTATTAGTTAAATTACGAACACTTGTTACGCTCCCATTACTTAACACGAACTTTGTATGAGGTCCAATCACAATGTTCGTTGCGTTATTTTTAATTATATCGCTAATCTTAATGACGTTTTTAGTTGTAATATTCTTTTTGATATATTTTGTAGGTTCACCTTCATGGATTGATTTTAAGATTTCGGGACAAACAAGCGCCGGAGGAAACCAAAGTGGGAAAGAAGTTGTCTTTCTTAATAAGTCTTTGTTTAAATCACTGTTGCGAATTTCTTTTTTTAAACTACATTCTTTATTCATTTTATTCGTTGCGTTAGGTGAATTTACGCCGATAACTGCTGATTTTAAATCCTCCTGAAATTTACCAAATTTTCGGCCGATTCACCTTGATCACTTGCATTTTCTGAAAACACTAAATTCACCGATTCAGCGTTTATAACAACGCTTCTTTTCTCAGTCGTTTTTGTTGTTAAAACGTTTCTTAAATATTCAGTTGGATTATCAAAATTTTGTTTTTGATTATCTAAATTGATTTCTTTTTTAAACCTACCCTTTTTCGCTTCACGTTTTAAATCGATTATATTAAGTTTAGATTCTTTAATTATATTTTCAATTTTTGATAAATTAGGTAGCAACGAAGAAATGTCCATGGAATTAATCGTTTCAGGAGGATTTGTATTTAAATCGCAAGTAGGACTGGTTAAATCGGGGTAAAGTTCTTGGAAAATCGGAGTTGTTGGACCTATTTCGACGTCCCTCGTCATCATAGGTACTTTATTATTTTTGAAATTTATTTTTAATATGTTCATTTTAGACGTTGGAGTTTCAACTTTAGCCGGGGTTACATCGACATCGAAATTATTTTTTTCTTTTGGTGATGATTCCGTTGTCGTTGATGTTAACAAATCTTGTTGTTTCGAGTATGTTTCAATAATTGCTGGTAAATCATTTAAAACATTTTCTTTAGACGTTGAGGTTTCCAAATCTCCTCCAAATAAAGCTGGTTGATTTGTGAAAATGTTAATAACATTCTTGCATTTAATACTTTGAATACCACTTGAACTTAATTCTTCTGTTGGTGGTTCCGAATTAATTTCCTCTTCATTTATAAGATTATTAATAAGATTTAAATCTTTACTTGAATAATTCGGACCATTTTGTGACACACTTTCTAGTTGATCTTGCGAATTAAGTGATGTATTAATAAAATTTTGCATAATCCCAAAATTTTCTTGATCTTGATTTTTACTATATTGCGAAATTGTTGTTGTAACAGGTTGAATATATTTAACAATAACAATAGTTTCAGTTTGGAGAGTTGATTGGGTTGTTGTTGAACTAGAATTTGGGGGGAAAACCACTTCCGACGAAACTCCTTTGATTATATTATCATAATCTTGATCAAAACCATCGTTGTTATAATAATCATTAAAATCTATATTTCCCTTTTTATTTGATGTTGAATGCTTGATCTCGTTTAAATCATTCGGTGAATTAGCTAACATTAAAACAATCGGTGTGGAAATAAGATTTGAATCTTGGTTTAAATCTGAAATATTTTTACCTCCCTTTGGCATATCTTTAATATTTATGGGTTGAGGTACTGGTAGTGGATGAAAGCTGTGTTTTGTAATCTTAAAATTGTTTTCTTGTGAGTCATCTTCAATTTTGTTGTGTAAATGATCGAGGTTATACAGATATTTTTTTACTTTATTTGGATAAGTTTCCTGGTATAAATATTCGTTTCTCCCAAATAATTTAGGATTCATATCTGGTTTATATCTTTTCTTTCTTTTAAGCTTCGATTGCAAAAAAGCCAAATTAAAATTTTTTAACAAAGTATCACTAGACTTCAACATATTTCTCTTTTCCACGTCCAAATTTTGTTCCTTTCCTTGTTTTTCTTTAACATATTGGGCGTATTTCTTTAATAATTTTAAAGCTTCCTGTTTTAAATTAGCTTCTATATTAGTAGTTGATTCGATTTGTCTCGCACAATGAACGTTAATTACGGGTAAATTATTTGTATTTGCAACCGTGGTTGTATCAGCGGGTTTAAGCATCGCATTCGGCGGAGTTGTTCTTGTAATATTAATAGTTAAGCAACTATTTGGGAGTGCGGGAAGTGTTAAAACATTTCTTGCAACTGTAGTTGATGTGGTTGTGGGTTTTGGTGTAGTTGGAGGTAATTTATTTGTTGTAATTGGGGGTCGTGTTGTGAATGTAGATTTTGTTGTAATTGCAGGTGGAGATGTTTGAATGAATTGAGGAAAACCAGGAATAAACGGGATTTGATTAAACCCCAAAGGAATCCCTGATAAATTAAAATTTTGGTTTGGTTTTGAATAAGCCATTACAGATGGTTGTGGAGGCATCAGTGCCATTATAATAACTTGTGGTGAAACTGGAAGCATGTTCATAACGCTTGTAGTATCAGGAACCGTTGATCTTTGGATAGCGCGATCAAAAACTTTTTGGGTACTACTAAATGTTTCATAAACCTTCGAAGATACAAACGTTCTTAATTTGTTTCTTATTTTACGAGTCGGAACTGTGTAAGTTTGAAATAATTCGTGAGGTAAAGTAGCCTCCATTTTTAAACGTTCCCTTTTAACGGGGATCTTAATCTTTTTCGTCACATAAATGGCTTTCAATAAATCCGTCATATTAACGATTGGTTCCGAATTTCCGATCGCAAACGAACTTCTTGGCCAATTTTTCGCTGGAAATTCAGGTTCATCAGCATCTTCAAGCACTAAAGGAGCCGTTATAAACATGTATCCATCTTCTCTTGTCGCGTATTTATGCTTAAGGTTTGGGAGGTATTTTAAAATGTTGTATAATGGAGGTTTTGAGTATTTTAATTCATCTGGTATCGCTTCTTTAAGGTTACAATTCGAATCAAAATAATCACATAAATGTCTTGTTGTATATCCAGTTGATGATTCAATAGCGGAAACATCGTCAAGATAAATAGATGGTTCCAATACTTCTGATTGTCTACTTCGACTAGTTATTAAAACTATGTTGTTATCAGGGGTGTATACATCAGAATTTGTAATTACTTCAGGATATTTATTTGGCGTTATCGACATGGTAAAATTATAAGAAAAGTTACCTACAGAAGTTGCTATAAATCCTTCAAAAGGAATTGGTGATGTTGTTTCTTCTGAACATATCCAATTACAATATTTAGAAACAGTTGGTGCTGTATTTGTTGTCAATAACGTCGTTAATAAAGTTGTTGTTGGTGTTGTTATTGATGGTGTTGTTGGTGTTGTTGTTTCTGGAATTTTTGATGGTGTTGTCGATCGAGTTGTTAATGAAGTCGTTGGTGTTGTTGATAAAGTAATTGATGAAGCCAAAACTGTTGAAGATGGCGTTGATGAACTCGTTACATCTTCATTAATTTTTACAGTGTCACATTCACTATTTGTTATCTCACTACTTTCTTTAGCTACACCTGCTATACTTGAAAAAAATTCGTGATCAAATGAATTATTTGATCGGATTGAAACGCTAACACTTGCTAATGATTGTTGGCTAGATACTTCTGTTCCTGTATTCCAATCACTTACCGTCGTCATTTCAGGCGTTGTTTCTGTAGTTACTAAAGTATTTTCTGTACTACAAGTTCTCCTTAACCTTTTTTTAATATGCCTTTTTTTAATTTGCCTTTTCTTATTACGTTTAGATTCGTGTTTATATCTTTCTAATACATTCATTATCTTCTTTAAATATTCTTCTATAGACGTCATCAACTCAATTTCGCGAGTTAAATTTTTATTTATTTTTGTATTGGTGATTTTTGGTTTATCAGTAAATTTAGAGAAAGCCATTGAATTAAAAGTTGAGTTGGGATTTCTCTGCGAATTTTGTGTTTTAGAGTCTAAAAAACTGTTTTTTGAATTCTTTTTTTTACTTTCTTTTCGATCTTCATATTCTAATTTTTTTCTGTCATTAAAAATAATTCTAGAACTAACAAAACTTCTTTTATAATTTTTCGAGGGTTCCTCCTCAACGAAATGGTACAACATTTCCGGGAGAAGTTGTAAATCGTCCGATTCGGAGACTTCTTTAGGATCTTCAATCGTATTTGTATCATCTTTGATATTGTCGCTTTCTTCATCTTCATAATCTTGGGCTTCAATTGGTGTGACATCTTTTTTTGTTACATCGATTAAATAATCAACTGGGGTTACATCTTTAATTGGTTTTGAAATGGTTGTTGGGATTAAAAATAAATTTTTGTTTTGTATTGATTTTGTAGATCCTTTTTTTTTCGACATTTTTGTACTTTTTGATGTGAGATTTTGTGCGAAAGGTTCGATTCGATTATAAATTGCAAAAAAAGGCGATGAAGGTTTAATATTTGCGTTTTTATAAAGATCTTGTATCGGGATTATATTTGAATGTTTCAATGAAGAAGTGACTTTCTTCTCGGTAGAACATTTATTTATGGGAGAAATTTTCCCCATAACGTAAGGATTTGATTGTAATTCTTTAATAACTCCAGGATTTAAGTTATCAGAGTTAGCCAACCTATCTTTTTTCGGTGGAATTACTAAAAGCGCATATCCACCATTTTCATCATATGGTGCAGTTGTCCATGAATCACTATCTTCATTTGTTGTACTTCCACAAGAATCAGAATCAATAACAATATCCATTGGTCTATCATAAGCTTTATTACTTGCAACTGTAATTCCGTTCATAGTTTTAGGTGGACCATTTTTTGTTTTGATTTCGTCATAATCAATTTCAGAGTTAGCTTCTTGACTTTCATCGCCTAGACAACCTTCTTTTAATACATAAATAGTTGCATTATAAGCTTCTTTATTATTACTGCTTACATCGTTGGTTGCTGTAGTGGGCGAATTTTCATTTAAAAACGTTATTTTCTCACTACTCATGTCACAATTATAGTCACTATTACCATCATTTTCTGATGATTTACTTTTCTGAAGACACCCCAGAGGTGATGTAACGTTAGGGCCGTTATTACAACCTCTACTTTCCTTCAAATTTTTATCATCAAAATCTTCGTAATTATCTTCACGGAGCTTATTAGATCTTACTTTTTGAATATGAACGGAAACGTTTTTTTGGCCACCCTTACTATATTTAGCCCCTAAAAGTTTTTTGACAGTTTCTTCAGAATCCTTTACACATGCGGCATCCAACGAAGTCCCTCTTTCTATAGAAGGCGTGTCAAATTTAGGCACAAAAAACTTTTCAGATTTTCTAACATAATGATTTAATTTATCTATTCCACCCAAAGTATCATTCATGTTTAATAAGCGATCTAAAAGTGCAGCTGTTGCATCTGTTGTTTTTGTGGTTACCGGCATATTCACAGGTTGATATATTCTATCAATACTGCTTGGATTCACTTGCGCATGTATCAACTTGTCTATATCTTCTACGATGTCATTTGAAGATAATAAACTAGCCATGGCTCTTGAATCGGATTCGGTTGCGTCGTTCGCGAAGAAATTTTGCTTCGGGGCTGATCGCTCGAAATTTATACTGGAAAATGGAGATCCTTTGCTGTAAGCTAGAAAAATTAGGAGTTATCTATATATGGTGCTTCAAATTCTGTGCCCACCATTGGAATCTTAGAAATTATGAGATACGAAAATAGGAATTTATGTATTCATTTCGAACCTTTTACAATTTCTGAGGTTCAAATGGTGGGTACAGAATTTGGAAAAGAAATTTGACAGGTTGGAATGAACAGTTAATATTTTTTTATTTATATAGAATAAAAAATTGTAGCTGTAACCAACCTATTAAGAATAGAGCTTTTAACAATGCTTATTATTTTGCATAACAGAACATTCATAAAAGCTCTATTTTATTAATACTTGACTAACCTTCTAATTCTTCATTTGGAGATCTTTTAACATGCATCGTTTTATTATACATAAAATCTTCATTTTGATTTATTTCATCATTACTTTTAGGATCGTCGTTATCAATCAATGAATCATCTTCGAAAGTTTCTGACTCGTAAGTATTAAAACTGGTTGTTGCATGTGAATTATTATTACTAACAAGATAATCTCCAGCGGAATCTGAGCCAGGTAGAAATTCGGTTTCTGAAACTTTTGCTAATCGTTTTTCGGGATGTAAAATCTCATCGTGAAGTAAAGAGGTTATAATTTTTGGATGGGCTTGGTACTCATCGGAAACAAACGGATCTAACTCTTCCGGTAAATATTCTTCTTCTAATTGTTCTTCACGTTTTTCCGGGTTTGGTGAAGTTTCAATAAGAATTTTTTTAATCGTAGTGATAGAGGGTGCTTTATCGCTAAGCTTAATTTGTCTTTGCCTCACTTTATCAGGTACAGGTTTGTTTTTTACATTCCCAAAAGGATTATTTCTATAGTAATACGGCTTAATCGTAGGTGGGGTGTTTGTGGAATTAACTATTGCTTGAGCTTTCATTTTGGCTAAATAAATTAATTCATTTCCTTGTGTTTTTCCACCATTTATTAATTTATCGATTGCATCAACTGGATCATCGGCTAATAATAAAGCGGCGAAAAGTTCGGCAGTTGAATCTTTGTATCTTGTGGGACTATATCGTTGTCTGGGAAGTGTTGGATGTAAAAGTTCGTTTGGTGCTGTGTACACGGAATGTGTGAAAACATCCATGAAAGAATTTTGGTTCTTTTTCGGTGCTCCTTCTTGGTTGGATTGAGGGGGAAAATTATTTGAGAAATATCCTCGACTTTCTCTCGTGTTTGAATAAGGATATTCGGGTGGTGATAGAGATACGTCTTGGAGTGAATCTAATTGAGTGTTTTGTTCTAATTGGTTTTTATAGGTTTCTGTTATTCGTTCTAAATTATCTAAATCATTAGAATTTATTAAATAATTTTTTGAATCACCAGCTACGTTTTGTGGAGGTGCATTATTAGATACTCTTTCATCCAAAGCGTTATTTGACGTTTTAAAAATTCCTTCATTTCTCGTCGATAACAACTCTGTATTTATTTTATCCAAATTTATCTGTTTTAGATCTTTTCCAGAATTTTGCACTTGTAAAAAAGATTGAGTTTCAGAGTTTTCATCAATTAATTTTTTAGAATTCAAATAAGGTTTTGTTACAAGCTCAAAGTTTTTTCTTGAAGCACTAAATCCGTTATATTTTCTTTTCTTCTTGTCTAAAGGATCATACGTTTCTTGCATGGATATATCAGCCGTTTTAAATAAAATGTTGTCTAAATCGTTCGTTGGTATTGTTGCGGGAGTTGTAGTAGTGGAAACAAACATTGTAGTACTTTTCTTAGTTGGTTTGTAAAACTCGGGTTCTTCCGTTAAGGTTGTCATAAAATCTTGAATGCGTACATCGCCATTTAAAAGATCTCGAATAGTAAATACTATAGATGTGAGTTCTTCCGTTGTTGTTGTTGCTTCGGTGGTGGATGATCTTTCCACAGTTGATGGTTCTGTTTCTTCTGTAGTTGTTGACATAAAATCTTGAATACACACATCATGTTTTGAAGAACGCAAATTTTCATTTGAAGTAATTGGATAGACTATGTCAACGTCTTCTCGAGAAGGAGTTAATTTGATGTCGTTCGCAAAAGTACTTAATGGTACAAAATTTTTAGATGATGATGCTTTTTTATCAACTATCCCCGATTTTAAATTGATATCATATTCTGAACATTTTTGAATTTTAATTTCGTTATTATGCTCGGGTTGATAATCCTTAAATGCTTCCGGTGTCATTTCTCTCACAGTTACGCATGGATTTTTTTGGGTAAGTGGAGGTCCAGGTGCAATTGGGACGTTGCCTGCATTTGGAGGTGGAACATTTCCAGCTACAACCCCATTCGGAGGAGCTCCAGGTGGAGGAGGAGCAGCTCCTCCAATATTTATTGCTCCTCCCATTCCTTGAATAACTCCATTTGGTGGGGGAGGACTCCCTCCTCCGCCAATTCCAACATTCATTCCATTACTACCATCACCTCCACCACCACCTCCATTACCACCGCCGCCCCCACCGGCTAATATCGTGTGTATATCTGCATTTGTTATATGACCATACATTGTGGGTGCGCTAAAATTCATATAATGCAATGCAGTTGTTGATCCTGGTTTATACTCAGTTGAAAGTGTGGTGGGGCATATTTCATCAGGGTCATAACACATCATTGCGAATGGTGGTGGTGGTAATTTTAATGGTTGATCTTCAGCTGGTTGTCCTTCCGCTGGGTTTTGTTCACTTACTTCGTTATTTACTGGTGCGGTGTTTCCTCCAGAATTTCCAGGTGTTTGCTTAAAAGCTGCAGCAGGAGAATTTTCACCAGTAGCTGGTGAATTTCCAGCAGTTGGTCCAGACTCTGATTTTGGACCACTCTCACCTGTTGGTCCAGAAGTTTGTCCCTGATGGGCATTAACAGAATCTGTTACAGGACATTGCCCATTTCCCGGTGGATTTCGACATGCAACATTAACTGTGTTAGATTTTAAATTTTGATTTTCATAATGGACTAAAAGTTCCTTAATAGTAGAACTACCCCGCTCAACATTCCCATTCATATCATGACGTTTTTTAACTTCTGAAATGTCATTAATTAGAGTCGTTGCTTTTAATTTTTGAATAATTTGGGACTTTTTTAACGTAGTCGGAGAGAAGTTTTGATTACTCAAAGTACTTCGTCCTTTCATTATATTCGTTGGCAACCTTTGCGTTAGTGTTTGTGTTTCTTTTGTAAAAATAATCTCATCACTATCATCTAACGTCGGCTCCTGAAATGATGTATCAGTGGATGTCTTTACCTTATTAATATCTTTTTTATGTTCTTCACTAACCGATGCCTCATCTACATCATCACCTTTATCATACGATTGATCATCCTCAGCCTCTTCTTCTTCTTCTTCATTTGAATAATCGTTAGTGGAAACATCTAAAAATCTTTTTTTTCTGTCCATATCATCTGATATCTGTTGATCGGCAAATTCAAAAATTGATTGTCGTCTTTGTTTATCAACATCGTCTAAAAATCCTGCTAATGAATCGTCGGTTTCTTCATCCCCTTGAAAATATACGGTTGGAATAAGAATATCTTGAACGTGATTTAACATTTTCTTTTGTTGTGAATTTTTAGATGATTCTTCAGATGAGCAAGTTTTGTTTTGTGTAGTAGCTTTTTCGTGTGATTTATCGCGAAAAGCTGCTTTTGGATCACTTATGAACCAATCGTCAGATCCTGAAGTGATGTTTGTGTTTGGCGGCACTTCCGCGACAGGTTTAGCATGATTCTTCGTCCCACCATAAGCTTGTTCACCTTGGGTTTGATTACTACCTCTCATACCAAAGCTACTATTAATTGGACCTAACCGATTACGTGATAATTCAGCAGATAACGTTGTAAGAACATCACTTGATTCAACAATTAATTTAGTAGTCGCTGTTATATTAGTACACTCACTTAATTCTTCAGTCGTGCCCCCAGATTGTTCTTTTATTGATCCAACTTTAAACGCAGCCTGTGGCGCTTGATTTCCTTCTTTATCATTATCACTTTGTTTTGATAAATCCGTGTCAGTTTTGGAGCACTCGTCTGAACTTGTTCCCGCTTTAAAAGCAGCTTGTGGTGCTTGATTTCCTTCTTTATCATTATAACCCGACTTTGCTGAATCCACATCTGATTTGGAACACTCTTCTGAACTTGACCCCGCTTTAAAAGCAGCTTGTGGTGCTTGATTTCCTTCTTTATCATTATAACCCGACTTTGCTGAATCGGTATCTGATTTGGAACACTCTTCTGAACTTGACCCTGCTTTAAAAGCAGCTTGTGGTGCTTGATTTCCTTCTTTATCATTATAACCTTGTTTTGCTACATCCGATTCAGTTGTGGAGCACTCCTCTGAACTTGATTCTACTTTAAAAGCAGCTTGTGGTGCTTCATTTCCCTCTTTATCATTATAACCTTGTTTTGCTGAATCCATATCTGCTTTGGAGCACTCATCTGAATTTGCTTCCACTTTAAAAGCGGCTTGTTCTTTTGATGACCCCGCTTTAAAAGCAGCTTGTGGTTGATTCTCATCTTTATCGTTATCACCCTGCTTTGTTGAATCCATATCTGTTTTACACTCTTCTGTAGTACACGCAGCTTCTTTTACATCGCATGCGTCAGCTAATAGTTTATTTCTAGGAGTTGTTGTTGTATTTGCACATTCATCTGGTGATTCGTTTCCCGATCCTGCTTTATAAGCAGCTTGGGGCGCTTCATTTCCCGCTTTGGCATTATCACCTTGCTTTGGTACATCTAAGTCTGTTTGTGGGCCGAATGTCATTGGGGTGGTTGTAACTTCTTCTATCCCTTCGGGAACGACCGTTACGCTGTTATTAATGATTACTTTAAAATTACCGACTGGTGGTGCTTGAATGAATAAATCTGGTGGTTTTTGTGTCCAACTCGTAAAGTTTTGGGACGGTTTAGAATTTTGTAAATCATAGTATCCTGGTTGTTCCGATTGACTTATTACGTGTTCTGTTATGTTAGCTCTCATAGCAGCTTGAGGTTGAGTATCATCTTTCCCTTGTATTTCTTGTTTTAATGGTTGTTTTTGAGCTTCTTTCGATAAAGCTTCTTTTTCTAGTATGTCTTGTAATAAGTCACACGTTGTCATGTTAGACGAGGTTGTAGTCGAATTTTTATAGGCTTCATCGAGAGATACGCGTGGAGTAGTATACACATTAGCTTCTTTTGGGGCATAAGCTGGTGCTGGTTCGTTAACAGAAGAATTTGAAGGGAGACATTCTTCAATATGAGGAATCGCACTTTCCACGTTAGGTACAACGTTAACAGTTTTATTTCTAAGAGCCATTTCTGGTTTTGCTGTTGTAACTTCTTGGGATTGAACCCCCATTTGAAGAGGCCCAGAACGAGTAAAATTTTCTTCTTGGAAATCGTACGTAACATTAGATTTAGGAGAAACAGCTTCGCAACAGCCATCGGAATCTTTATTTTTATCTGGATACGTTTTGGTTTGGTTAAGTTTGTTGGCTGGTTCATGACCCGGGGGATAATATTGATCAAATCCTGTTACTTTTGGTATTTTTGGGGATGGTGATGGTGAATATTGCCCGGTTATTGCTGACTCTGTGGTATCATTATTGTATCCTGTAGCATCGCATTGAGTTGTTGTTGTAACGCAATCGTCTGATTCTCCATTATGTCCACGTCCTTCTCCGGATCGTGGCTTCACTCCTTCTTCTTTGTAAACAGGCTCAGATTGAACCACGTTACCTGTGGGATCATAAGATAATCTTATATCAGTTTCGACCGGGTTTATTGTAATTTCCGGGTCATTCAGTGTGGGTTGTGGTGTATTTAATTTTAATAGTGTTTTGAGTTGTTGATCATATCCAACATAACCATTAGGAATAATTGTCTTTTCTTCTTCGTTATTCGAAATTCCATTATGAATTGATTTGAATTGATTGAAAATGTATGAGTTGTTTACAAGAGAAGAAGGAGTGGTAGCTGCTATTTGAGCTAAAGTTTTATCAATAAGTTTAACATTAAACCTTGACGGGTAATTAATTTGATTTGTTGGAGGAATCTTTAAATCAACGTTCGATTTTGAAATATTAATGATGGGTTGTGAATTTTTTTGAATTGGAATTGCCGTAAAGTTTTGATTTATGTTATCTCTACCTTTTATATGTTTAAAAAATCCGAACGATAATTTTGTTGTTTCGGATTTTTCTTGGTCATTTCTTGGAATTAGTATGTTTTTGTTTGATTTGGTTTTATCGACGTCATCAAAAAAGTCCATAATTAGTTGTGGATTGAATTTTAATTCTTCATCGTCTTCGTCTGCGTTATTAGATTTGCTTTGAAGCTTATTAGCGATTGATTTTATAACGTCGGTGCATGTTTTTCCGAATAAATTTTGATTCGTTGCTATTTCCTTCTTTTTTATCCCACCTTTGGGCTCAACCGCAACTTTTTGGACATAATCCATCGTAACGTCTTTTAACCCAAAATCTTCTTCTATAATCGGCAAATAAAAAGTGTATCCATGAATTAACTGCTCGATAGCTCCCAAAGTATTATTCGCATCCATCAATTTACTTAATAACGGCGAATTTGGTAATGAATCATCATCGTCATTTATCTCCGGTCGTCCAGATTTGTGAATTTTGTTATCTTGTCCCGAATTTTCTGATAAACAGACACTACTTTTTTTCGAAGTATCTCCGCCAAATTTAGTGGATGCTGTTGATGATTTGATTCCGTTATGTTCGATTTTCTGCCCCTTCTGTCCTCCTGCTGTGGTATGATAATTAGTTTTTTTCAAGGGATAGGTAACTGGATTTACCCTTGTGATGAGTTCTGTGTACTCAGTTGTAGTTTCTGGCATGTCGCTCTCTCCGTGTATCAATCTATCTATTTCTGCAATCGTATCGTTTGATGATAACAACATGTCAATTAAATCTTTTCCTCTTCCTTTACTAAAATCGAATTTTTTTGTATCATCTGTTTGATCATCACTTTCAAAATTTATTGTACTTGTACGTCTTGTCGTCCTTGTTGTTTCCATTGATGTTGTAGTTTCCGTTGATCTTGTAGTTTTCGTTGATCTTGTAGTTTTCCTTGATCTTGTATTTTCTGTTGATTCAACATTTTCTGTTAATTCAACATTATCTGTTGATTCAGCATTTTCTGTTGATTCTACATTTTCAGATGTTCCAACATTTTCAGTTGTTCCAACATTTTCTGTTATTCCAACATTTTCTGTTGTTTCAACATTTTCAGTTGTTCCAACATTTTCTGTTGTTTCAACATTTTTTATTGCTCCAACATTTTCTGTTGTTCCAACATTTTTTATTGCTCCAACATTCTCTGTTGCTCCAACATTTTCTGTTGCTCCAACATTTTCTGTTGCTCCAACATTTTTTATTGCTCCAACATTCTCTGTTACTCCAACGTTATCTGTTGAATCAACATTTTCTGTTAAATCTATATATTCAGTTGGTTTCATATTACTTATTGGCCAATGAGTTACTATTAATCTTGTAACTGTTGTTCCCATTATTTTCTTTGTTGTAGTTTTATTTATGTTTTGGCTAAAACTTTTTGGATTAATTGTTGGTTTGAAAATATTTGTTTGATTTTTTTTTGAAGTTTTTTTTTCCACATTCGGAATAAACAACGGAAAATGGTAATCATCATGTTCATGATGATAGCTTTTTATTGAATTTTTGTTAATAATCGGTCCATAAAACGAGGAATTAATCGATTTAGTTCTTTTTTCGTGTTTTTCATAATAACCAGGTAAAGTTGTTTCCATCGGTTTCATTATTGTATAATAAACATTTTTGTTATCTCTTTTAGTTGTCCGATTTTCTTCATTATCTAATTTTATTTTTGTTTTACCTTTTATATTAACAATATCTCCATTCGATAAAACATAACCAACGATTTTTGGAACATCATATTCCAACTCAACTTTATTAAAATTATTATAATTAATTAAATTTCTTTCAAAAACTCGTGGCGATTTCGACGTCAACAAATTAATTAATTTCGATCTCCAATTAGGTTTAGTTGGTTTTAAATGATATTTCGGCCTCTTTGTAGCTAAATTCCTCATATCAAAACCATCGGATGTTACATAACTTTCGGGAAAGAGAAATGATTGAGGAACCAATTCTGTAATATCGCCTTGATCTTCAGTTGCGAGTGCCATATTTGGGTTATTATCGTAATTTTCAGCTTTGAAAGTTTGTAATTGAGGAAAATACGTGTATAGAGTAAACGATTTTTTTGGCGAATGCTTTGGAGTTTTGTCTGATTTAAATTTAGGCATATAATTGTTTGGAGTTGAAGATGGAAATACTTTAATTATTTTTAAAGGAGCCTTACTTAATTTGAAATAATTCTTTGAATGAAAATCATCAAATTTTTTATTATTTTCTGTAGTAAGAAAATTTTTCTTTTTGCTATATTCTTTGTTATACGAATTCGGCAGATTATGAAAAATTACATTCACTGGTTTTAATTTTGATTTAATTGGAAATTTCTTCGTGGTTTTACTCATTTCATTTTTTAATGACTCAGTAATTGGAGGTGATTCTTCCGATTTTATCGCAGAATTAGTTGACTCTGTTACTTTACTAGACAAAGAAGATTTTATTGATTGTTCTCTTAAATATTCACTAATCAAATTTGAAATTATAGATTGAGCAAGACTACTCAAACGCTTCTCAGTACTCATTTCTTCAGTTGTTGTTAAAACATTTCTTGAAGAAGTCGTACTAGATGTAAACAAATTTTGTATTGTATTCTCAACATTTGTAGGACTCGTAATTTCTTTAGAACTATCCTTAAAATTTGTGCTACTCATCTTTTCATATTTGTCAACATCACCACAAGACGTCTTTAAATCCAATTTTAAATCTTCATCACTTTCTCGAAAATCTTTCGATTTCATAGATTCCTCGTGTTTTTCAACATCACCCGATAACTTTAAAGCCGATTTTAACTCATCATCCAACGTTATTGTTGCGGCTACATCTTTTGTTACTTCTGATAACGGTTCAATTTTTAAACTATACGTTGATGGATATAGTAGGGTTGTTATTGGAAATGTTGTGGTCAATGATGATGAAGTCAAAGTTGTTGAGCGATGTGTTTCACTTATTTTAGGTGTCACATTTATTATAGATGTTTTAGTTACTGTAGGTGTCTCATTTATTGTGGATGTTTCAGTTGTTTTAGGTGATTCAGTTATTATTGGTGTTGCTGTAATTGTAGATTTTTCATTTGTGCTTGATGATTCAGTAGGTGTTTCAGTTATTCTAGATGCATCAGTTATTTTAGATGCATCAGTTATTCTAGATGCATCAATTATTTTAGACGCTTCACTTATTCTAGGTGCATCACTTATTCTAGATGCATCACTTATTCTAGATGCATCACTTATTCTAGTAGCTTCATTTATTTTAGATGCATCACTTATTCTAGGTGCATCACTTATTTTAGATGCATCATTTATTCTAGACGCTTCACTTATTCTAGGTGCATCACTTATTCTAAATGCATCACTTATTCGAGATGCATCACTTATTCTAGATGCTTCACTTATTTTAGATGCATCACTCATTTTAGATGTTTCACTTGTAGATTTTGCAGTTTCAATTGCCTTAGGTGTTTCAGTCACATGCACTTCAGATATGGGCATTTCAGTTTGATGATGTGTTCCAACATATTTTTCTGTTGCTGCTTCTATTCCTTTAATATCTTCAATCATCTTTAACGGTGCTAATGTAAATAAAGTAATAATTTCAGGAAGTTGTTCATCGTTTTGATCATTATACTCATAATTTTGAGATGATCGTGGTGAAGTTTCAGATTCCATAGGACTTAAACCTGTTCCTACATTTCCCACATTTCCTACATTTCCTAAATTTCCTACATTTCCTATATTTGCTCCATTTTCCCCATTTAAATCAAAATTATCCGATTCATCATTAACATCTGGTTCAACACTAGTTCCTATATAAGATTTTATTTGAGCCTCTAAAAGTTTAAATAAATTCTTATTTATTTCATTATTTGATTTATGATTAACTCGAACTTTTTTTGGTGTTATTTTAAGTATTGGAATCATCGTGTTCGCTTCATCTTCATTACGTTCATTAATTCTCAAAGGATTTTTCGTTAACCACATAGAATATTGTCCAGGTATTAAATGATGAGGATAATCAGACTGTTTATGGTTTTTATAAGATCGTTTCCGATTAAGATACGTTTGATGTATCAGATGTAACAACTCTCGATTTCTACGATCCAACATGTATTTATCCAACATTGTGCTCGTTTTCGTTGTGGTTTTTAAGGTGTCTAAAGTAGTTGATTCCTTTTCGTGGTTAATTTGAGACAAATTAAAAATTCCGGGATCATTTAAATAATTTTTATAATCATCGTTCGTTTTTTCAGTATTAAAAGAATATTTTTCTGTTGATATATTAAATTCTTTTAGCAAATCTAAATAATGATCGTAATTTTTAACCCAATCTGGAATATTTTTTGTGTAAGAATCTTTTAAAGCGTTTATTGGGGTATCTATCAAATTATCTATGAAAGTATCTAACGTAGTTTTTATTGGAGTCGTACTTTTTTCACTTTTTTCTTCGTTATTTTTCATTTTTTTATTTTCTAATGCAACCAATGAATCAAAAACATTTTTAAACTTACTAAATATATCTCCGGGTGATTCAGTTGTTGTTGAGGACAACTTTAATGATAATTTCCTAATTTTTAATATCGCATCGTTATGATTATGTTTTCCTTCTCTTTTTGATGAAACTCCATTATTAATTTCGTTTATTTCATTAATTTTGTTTATATCCCAATTTTTTGGTGTGGTGTGTATATTTAATGGATAAAGTGTGATTATGTAAGGAATGTTATTATTATTCTTCGTACCTGATCTTTTATTACTTTCCCCTTTTTTTTTGAGAAGTAATTCCTCTTCTTTGTCATTTTCTTCGGAAGAATCGAGTTTAGTTGTCGTTTTAGGATGTAATTTTTTATTTTTTTTCTTAATATTTTCGTTAATTATTTTAAAAAATGTTGTTGTTTTTCGAGGAACTATAGATTTATCATTGACGAAAATTGATCTTTTGAAAAGTCCCCGATCCCGCTTATTAAAATTATTTTCCGGAATATAATTGTGAATTTTTCTATAAGAATATCGTTTCACCAACTCATTTGCTGACGGGTTTCTAACTGTGTATTCGAAATTTGAACCCACACCTTCCTCCCTAGATCGTCTTTCAACGTCATAACTTATTTGTGGTGCGTTTAATTTTTTTAAATTAATTGTATCATCTTGCTGATAAATTTGTCCTGTTACCGCCGATAAAAGTAACAAACATGTCACTAAAGAAATAATATTAGCCTAGAAAGAAAAAACATAATCTGACACTCTTCAAATGAACAAATTTTTAAAAACTTACTTAAATTTTGGTTTGTTAGTATAAATTTTTTTAAATCTTCGCACGATCTTTTCTGTATTTTCTTAAGCGTATTAAATCTTTCGTTTCTGCTTAATTTTTATATTGAGTATTCCTCTTGACATTTTACGTGGTGACTTTTATTGGAAAGCTGTCACCAAATTTGATTTGTTTTTTTTTTCGATTTCAAGGTTTACTATCTTTTATCTGGGTTAGGTTAAAGAAAACTTTTTACAGAAAGCCGGTTTTTATTCAGTTAAATAAATTGCGGAATGCATTTGCATTATTACAACAAAAACTTCAAGGTTGTTTAAATAATTACATTTAATTTTCACTGCAAATTGTGTTTATCAAATCCTGTATTTAAACGATTGGCTTGTGTTTGTACTGTTTTTCCTTAACAATTATGCAAAATTAAAAAAAGAATAGCGAATAAAATAATAGCTTTAAGATTTTTTTTTGAAATTGCATTTAATTGGAGTTGTGAAGTCATGAGAGAAGCTGTAATAAAAATTACGCTATACGCAGCTTTATGCTATTCAACAACATAATCCCTTTCTCGAATATCTCTTGCAAGAACTCAAAAATTTTCTTTACTAATTATCAAGGCCACGCAAAAAGGGGTTCAGTACTCAATCAAGCAACTTTCAAAGTTATTCAAAATTATTTGTGCCTTATGTACTTTGCTCAATTGGCTTCACCTCACAAGTTGTAGTGATTTAAAGGGTTGTACCGACGAATAAGGTACCATTATTATAAAGACCTAGAATAAGAAGCTGCCTTATCAGCCATCATCGACCACAATACCAGTAATGGAAGATGACAAATCAGATACAACACAAGTGATATTAATGTTGCACTATTAGATGATCACCATTTCACATCAACATTTTACATACTTGGGTTAACTGGTATTACACATGATATAACTCATTATAAAGATTTATGATTTTGATCCAAAATTGGTTGGAATAGATTTTTAGTCTACTCTCTGATATTGTCATAGAGTGTCTCAACTCTATGATGACTGGAATAGGTATATAACTACCAATATGTAGCAGCTGCCAGCGGTGGATCCAGATATGATACTATAAGCTCCAAGGAGGTGTCTTCTTAAAGTGTTGTGAACTCATAGGGACGCCTTTTCCTGAATCACACCGTGCTTGAGAGACGCACATGTTCATTGTGGTGCACATTCTCTTTTTAGCCAATCAATTAGACCTGGGGTGAGGTAGCTGTAGTGGTTTGTTTGGTCTTGCCAAAATACTGCGCTTGGCTAGTGGCGATACACAACTAACACGTATTCGCTGTATTGGGTGATCCACCAAGTTTATTTTAAACATTATTCTGGATTTGTAATGTTGTTGTTATTGAGGTTGGGTGTAAATTCTTAACAGACTAAAGTGCATAAACTATTTTTATTACTTTTTATAATGTTTAATGTATCAGGAGTTATTTAAGCGTATGAACATACCACGATAGATGAAGTTTATAAACTGACCGGCAAAAAAAACCGGCCACTATAAATTAGCCAAAACTTCAAAGCTGGCTTTCTCGCGAACCGCGCATTCGATTTTGATGATTGTTTTTTTGAACGAAAGGTTGATTCTTCGGTAATAATCCTGCGATAGAAATTTTCATTTAGATTTTAATTTGAGCATATACGGGCTGCAAGAATGAGAAAAACTTTTTTTTTCTCGAAATTTGTAATACCCTGTGGGGTGCAACTGCTACAGCAGATGGTGTTAACTGGAATCAAACGGTAGCCCAATCTTTTCTGAACATCTTGTTTTTTTATTCACTCTATTATCTCTATTATTAACGAAGATGTGTGTTTTAAAGCGAACGCCTGTAAAAACAAGACAAACAAGCATAAAAAATCTAAGGTGGCGCGCTAGGTAGCGTACGATTTTTGTAAGATTTTTACAGTCTTTTAACATAATAGCAATCCTGTTGTCATTGAGGATGGCAAAAGTCAGCAATACGTTGGGTATATCCCGAACAACAGTTCAGTATGCCTGGAACCAATATGTGGAAACAGGAAATTTCACTAGTCGGCAAGGTTTCGATAGAAGACGAATGACAACAGCTGTTGATGACCGATTTATTGTTCTAAACACTCTGAGGAATTTTAGAATGACAGCTGTAGAAACTCGGCATCGTCTTCAAATGGTGCGTGGGGTTGACGTAAGTGAAAGAACTATTCATTGAAGACTTGATAAAAGTGATTTGACTGCAAGAAGACCTGCCAAAAGACCTCGGCTGCTCCAGAGACATCGGCAAGCACACGTCGTAATGAAAGGTTTGCGACCTGCACAATTTCGGAAAGAGTACCTTTCCATGGAGGTTCTATTCCCATTTTATTGGTGACGGATTCATGCTAATGCATGACAATGCGCAACCGCACGTAGCACGTGTGGTTAACGAATATCTTTGGGACCAACTTGAGAGACGCATTCGTCGTCGTCCTGTCCTCCCGGACAACCTTTAAGAGTTACAAATTGCTTTTGAAGAAGAGTATGCCGCAATTGCTCACTGACATCAACAACATGCACCATTTGAAGACGACACCGAGCTTCTACAGCTGTCAGTCTACGATTGCTTAGAACAATAAAACGGTCATCAGCTACTATTGTCACTCGTCTTGTTTTCACAGGCGATCGCTTTAAAATACTGCATCTTCGTTAGTAACAGAGATAATACAGTGAATAAAAAAACAAAATGCTCAGAAAAGATTGGGCTACCATTTGATTCCAGTTAACACCCTCTACCGTAGCAGCTGCACACCACAGGGTATTACAAATTTCGAGAAAAAAAGGTTTTCTCATTCTTGAACCCCGTATATGCTCAAATTAATATCCGAATAAAAATTTCTATCGCAGGATTATTACAGAAGAATCAACCTTTCGATCAAAAAATGAATCATCAAAATCGAATGAGTGGTTCGCGAGTAAGCCAGCTTTGAAATTGTGGCTACATTTTAGTGGCCGGTTTTTTTTGCCGGTCAGTGTATATCATGAAACTCAACTCAGAAAATTTAGAAACACAGAAAGTCTAAAAAAGGTAAATTTAAAGTATGTGTATTGAAATTAATTTTCAGTTTAGGTACATTTTTCAGATACCGAGAAGAACTACGTGATCTCTTGCACACTGCTGACAATTCTCATTTTTTCTTCAACACTAAAGCTAACTCGCAGTCTAAACCTCTATATGCAACAGCCAGATTAGGTGTCGTCGCAGTGAGATATCGATGATAAAACCAGATATTCAGGAATCAGACGGGAGGGTATTCTTCTTAGGAATTCTTCATACTCACTCTAGGACGTATATAACTGAGCGCATTATTCTTTAAGGATTTCATTTAATCGTTCTCTAATTTTCTCTCACTTTTTGTAGCGGAAGAATGGTATGATCTAAGATTCTGGCCAAATAACAACACACAGAATTATCTACTTTGCTTATGTTGTTAAGGTATTTATTAAAATACTCGTGGCCAAAAAAAGACTAATTGAGGTAATTATCGTGGTGCAATCTATTTTACCATGGTTTACTTTAATTCTACTCTACCTTTTCTTTTTTGTACTGGCTCTGACTTTTCAGAAGCACCTCTCCTCCAACACTATTGAGTCAGTCAATAGAATACCTGCCACAATGCATACAACTAGATCAGAAACCGGCAAAAGAAAGCTTCTAATAACTTAAGTTTTAACCCCGTTACACGACTTTCTGGGCGATAACAAGAACTTTCTGTTTTCGGCAACTTTAATTCTAAAAAAATATGTGAGGGTGATCTGAGAATGTTCAACCGTACATCGCTGTTGATAAATTTGTTGTTCAAAGATTAAGATTATTGAAGCAATTAGAATAAAATTTCACAAAATTAAGTAATTTTTAATGCGATTTTCGAGTAAATAAGTATTAATTTTAAAACGATTTACTTTCCTCACAGCAAATTTCACCATAAAATCAATAACCTTGATATTTGCACTAAAAACTTGTTACTTTCCACTTATAATTGATTGGACAAACGTAAGCTATATTTCATGGGAATTACAAAAATTACAATTTCTCAAGCTAAAAAGTAACGTTTACTCATCTCGTTCGCATCAATTTCTATTTCGACTAAACAGTATCAGAAATTGTGGCCGAGTTTATCATGGTTCTAGTTTATAATTAGACACAGATTATTTTGAAATTATCGTAAAATTTTTATGGTTACATTAATTTTCAAACAATTTTCTACACTTTCTTATATGCTTTGGCCCAATCTTTATTACCTAATCAGTTAACGGTTTTAGAAATTTCATAATTATCTTTTAATAGGAAATTTTAAACCGTTTACTCATCTCACCACATTAATTTCAAGGAGCTAGAGGAAGTTGTGGTTGATAACGCGTAATAATAAAATTGTTTATCATTACTAGATAAATCATAAATTATGGTTTAATTATTTTTTTCTTCAAGACGTTTTAATTAAAAATTTTTCAGAGAATATCTCCCTTTGTTTTCAAAGTTCTGAATAAGTTCGTTTTAACTGAATCACCTCAGTGAATGTCCTTGTGAATTATTGAACCATTCCACGTAGTGAAATGCACCAATTATGCGTTCCACAAAAGCATTTTAACGATTTTTACATTTTCTAGGAAATTACATGTACGGAAATAGCAAAAAAAGCTTAATTTATTTTGCGATAAAATCTTAATTAATTCTAAATAAATTTAAATTATGCAATGATCACAATTAATAATTTCAACTGTCGTAGGTTGATTACAATAATTTTTCCCGGAAGCTTGTGTGACGTCACTAAAATCCCAACTGTGTTGTTTTCGATGAATCCCAACAAAAAGACCGCTTCAACTGCACTGAACTGAAGCCAGAAAAACCACGTTTATAACAGCGTGCCAGTTACGGTCAGACCTCATTCCAACTCGAACCGCGTTCGTGTATTTAAACGGTATAAATACTTTAAAGTAAAATATTTCCGTTCAGTATGGCTAATAGTGTTGTTGACGATAAAAAGTTAAAAAGTGACGAAGAAGCGATGAAACCCTTAAACAACGATTATGTTCCGTTAAATGATTTGAATGATCCTATTAATTCATATTCTGCTCATGAAATTATTCATGGAAGCCAAGATGATATTGACCACGGAAACACAACTAATGGACATGATTCACATGATCCAAGAGTGGATATAATTTTTAACAGAGCTGGAGAAGGTGAAGATGAAAGACCAAATGGAACATCTTTAAACGTAACCAACGGCGATTTTAATCGACCCTTTGATATCCGATCAGAATTTGGAGGAATCGCCGGAAGTGAATCTATCCCAGACGTTAACATTTATCAACATAAAAAAACTGTTGCACAAGGAATGATGGATTTAGCCTTATTTTCTGCGAATGCTAATCAACTTAGATACGTCGTCGAAAGTCAGGACCATCCTTATTTTTATCCTGGAATCATTTTGATCACTATCAGTTTGCTTTTCCAAGTAAGTAGAATTTATTAGACGCTTAATTGGAACTAGTTAAGATTATAATCTTAATTTTTCTCATTAAATTCTTTTTTTAGGTTGCGGTGGGAGTCGGTCTTCTTTTAAACACACGATACAATGTTAAAGATAAAAAAGAAATTTGCATTGCAAATAAAATCAGCAATTTCACAATAGTTGGCATTTTCTTGGTTACCGTTATCAACGTTTTCATCTCCGCTTTTGGTGTAGCATCTGGGGGATCCCCAGCACCCGTTCCATTACTACCAAGAAGCGGTGGAGAGGAAGATACAACTTTACTTTAAGTTAATCTCAAAATTTAAAATAAGTTCCAGAATATTAATTTATCAAAAAAAAAAAAAAAAATAGTAATAACGCGTTTCTAATTGACAATTACCAACTGTGATATTTGTTTTTAAATTTTAGATTACAATGTTGCAATTATCTTTTTTATGTAATTTTTTATATTGTATCAATAAACACTCTGCTTATCTGAATATTTTGATTTTTATTGAAATTAACATTAATTTTAATTCAACGTGCGCTGCTTCATTATAATTTTAAAGATAAGGGAATAATATTGCGATTATTTAAATGTGGTCATCAATGTTATCTTTAATTTCCGCCTTTGTTATAGCGTCTGTGAAAATGACACGTGTCTCTTTGTTAACAAAAGACTTGGAGAAAGAAACAAAGAAAAGATTTTTTTAATTTTAATCGGCTAAAATATATTTTGAAATATAAACATAATATAACAATGATTAGATGATATTATTTATGAAATTTCACAACTTGTGACAATAATAGGTTTTTACACAATCCTATTTTCGACAACTAATTAATTTAATGAAGAAAAGAACGTTAAGTTAGCAGAATGATGAATTCAAGAATTGATTGTTTAGTAGCTAAAATGTGTGGTTGATTGCTGTGCTATAATTTAATACTAAATGGTCATTAATGAATAAAACGTTTCAACGCGAACTAAATATAGAGTTAGACCTTAAAGTAGACATCTTGTGCGTCTTAGCAATCCAGAGGAGTTAATAGTTCGATTCAATTCCTAAGGTATCAACTTTAATTAGATCAATATCAATTAGAAAATCCATTTTACCAGTATTTTAAGATTGAAATTTAATTTAGAAAATTATTAATGACTGAAATTCACAACATCATCTTCAGAAATGTCGTCATTAACAAAAATTGTCGTTCAAATAACGATGTACTTCAAGCCTATCGCAAGTTCGCACAACAAATAAAACTTTTCATGTACAAATATAAATGTATAATTGAAGATTTAAAAATATAACACGTTAAATCAATACGTTAAAATAAGATATGATAAATTTTATTGCGTAACTTCATGTTGTAACGTCCGTATGTTATTAAATATCACAGTTATTCAGTGGTTTTGCTTTCTATTGACTTTCCTATGTATTCAAAGAAAAGTGTTGTAATCGAGCTAAAATTCGATCTCAAGATTTTGATGGATTTTTACATCAACGAATTAGTTTGTGACTATTAAACAGAATCGTAGATCTGTCCGGGAGTGGTACTTTATATAAATACACATCGAATCTATTTTGCGCAGTAAAAAGTTGCATAAACATACACTGAGTATTTATAGCTAACCTATTTGTAGTGTTAATAGGGGTAACAATATAGCGAATAATAAATTTATTGATTGATTTTTATCTTTAATTTTCAATTTTTGTTCTATTATTTTGAAAAAGATTCTTTGTATGATTTCTCCCATACTTTAGTTTAGTGCGGAACGTTTTCGGCGGTTCTAGTTGTTGCATGTGCAAAAACTCCAAATTGTTTAGAACGAGGTCCTAAGGATGGCATTTAATGCACCTTGGTTTGTTCTTAGTTAGCTATTTTATATATTATGGCATTCATTCCATTCACTACACAGGAAATTTCCGGACGTTATCGAATGTCATTTTGCACAGCCTGGGTGAATTCCGAAATTTAATAAAAGAAACTCGATGTCATCGGTCTACAAGAGAACACATGTATACTATAAAGGAATAAAAAGCTTCATATGAGATTTCAAGGCATAAAACCCTAAATGATGCACATTGAGACTCAAAGGAACGAGACGCTGTCAGGCAAAAGGATGAAGAAGCAGATTCTGTAATTGTAGTACTCTCATGGAAGAGAAAGGAGAAAGGCGCAAAGAAACCATTAGAATCTGTCTATCACTGATGTCCAATCAAACGATATCAAAATCTTCTTGGAAGACTCAAACTCTAAAATAGGAAAAAAGAACCAATACAAAGCATTAATCACTGATAGTGATCCCGCCAAATCTGACGGCATTGATAGCACAGTATCAGTGCTTATAATATCTTCCGCAGCCCATTGGTAAGACATGTCGGAACAGTTTTGAGCATATTGCTTAAATCTGTAAATGGTTGTTCTAGCCACTTTCTCTATATGTAAATGCAGAGGAGTTAGGCCAAGCAGAACTTCCATTGCTAGAGTTGGCGTTGTGATTATCGCACCAGAGATAGCTAATTCAGCTACCAGGTGAATTCGTGAAAGTTTACTGATAACTGAAGTCTGTCAGACTTTCCTATACCCAGTTTTTCAGGGGTACGACCCCAATTTTTTCCACAAAGACTGCAACAAGTCCATAAGGATACTCTAGCTTTGTGCAAAATTTCCCGCAAATATCCATTCCATGACAAGGTTTTGTCTAGGATTACTCCTAGATATTTGACTTCCTTTGAGAAAGGAATTTCTTCACCTTGGATAGTTCGGTTCTATACCTTTTAAACGAGCTCTGTTTTGCTTCGAACTATAAAGAAGAATGCAGATAAAACCGCAAGAAAGAAAGGATGCATTGACGTTAGAGAAGGATGAAGCCGCTACGAAAAAGATTAAAGATTCGGTTCATTATAAAAACCCATGACCTTGTCTCGAAAAGCTTTTATTATTCTAAAAATTCTTTATTTTCAAATAATAGGATATAAGATATAAATAAAATGCTTGTGTTTAGAAAATTTTAATCTAAAAATAACTAAAATAAATATGACAAAACACCTGGTTTGTTATCCAACCTGAAAAATAAACAACATTTATTACCAAAAAATGTTAAAATGATTTTTTATAAACACTATAATATATCTATAAGTGTCTTTGCACCATATTTATGAAGTTTATGAAGAGCAAATTGTTGCAACGATGAAATTTGTAACCCTTTGTGAGTAAGTTCATGTAATAATTGTATTACGTAATTATTTATGTTGTATTTTGTTTTGTATGTCTCGTTTATATGACTATATGTGCATATGCTCTCATGGAAGAGAAAGGAGAAAGGCGCAAAGGAACCGTTAGAATCTGCCTATCAAAATGTTCTTGGGAGACTTAAACTCTAAAATAGAAAAAAAGAATCAATAACTAAGCATCATAAGTAAACACAGCCTACACAAAGAATCAAATCACAATAGCATTTATACAAAACACCAATCTGACATAATAGAGGTCGAAGTAGGCGAGGTACTAACATCGGCTCTCTCTACTACCTGGTAGTACGTATGGTCAAAGCAAGAATTGCGAATACCAAAAAGACAACAATATAAAATTACTAGAAATTCAACCTACAGAATCTCAAAAAGAAGAACAGAAATGGAACGTACAAAGAGATTTCAAAGAAAACCAGCGGGCAGTTCAATGAACTGATTTGACAAAGAGTGGAGAAGGGAAGAAGAGAGGACTGATAGATGGAAAAAGGAAGAGGTCATAAACAGTTAACTAAGGGAATTAGAGAAACTAAAAATATATTCAGACACGACAATAATTTAACATTTTGATGGAACTAGGCAAAATATTGGAAAGATGGATGGTTTAGTTTAAAGAAAAATTGGAAGCAGAACAAGAACAACGGAGCGAAGAAGTTTTGCCGCACTCATCCACCATCCTGTGTCATATATTTGGAGGCGAGATGAAATATGGCTAGAACTTTGAATTATATACAACATATAATGATACACACATCGTCAAATTCATCAAAATCAGCTTCTTGCGTTCAGGTGGAATCAGGTGGAAAAAGATATTACATTTCAATTTTTGTTTTACTTCAATAACACCAACTATAAAAGAAAAATGCGAAACAGAATATAATAGGTGCCACGCCACTGATGATGATTAATCTACGAAAAGATTAAATCAAAAGAGGACAAATAAATCTGCAGTTTATAAAGACTTCTCATATCATTCTGGCATAGAAAGAAGTGTCTATACGGCCATTTTTGACGTAGATCTAAAAGTTTATTTCAAAATATATTCGTGGCCAAAATAAATCATTATTTAATTGGAGAATGATGAAGTAAATTTGTTAATTTACAAACGATTAGTAAAGAGGCTAATAAAATCCGAACCTGATATGTTATAACATTGAAGCTATTGGAGTTACAAAGCGTGTAAAAGTTTCTGACGTAGACCGTGCTGACCACCAATTACTTATGACAGTTGTTATAAATTGGGCACAAGAAATACTCAGCAAACATTTGTATGTAGATATGTTTGTACTTGAAATACGAATTTTTTTGCTGCAACTATTTGGTAATGATATATGTGTAGCTATAAATTAAAGTTTGGAAGTTATAATTAATTTTCAAGCAATCCAGTATCAACACAAATATAATTTGAGAACTCAATATGTTTTGCCATATGTTCAGACGTCCAATAGTAGACAAAGAATTGATTACACCTACTAGACGGCTCCTTATTTTTTCCAAAACCCATTTTTGTATCAACCCTATTTCTGCATTGTAACATATTTTTGGCCAGGTATATATAGTGTCCTTGAATATATTAAAAAGCCCTTGAGTATCTGAAATTTAGAGAGTTGATGAAGATGCTACATAACACCATAACACGTACAAAGTCAAAATAACCATGGCAAACAATAATGATTCATGCAAAACATGAAAAAGAATGCTAATAACAGCATCAGTGTAAAAATTATTCCTTTACCTTTTAAACGAGCTTTGTTTTGGCCCGAACTAAAAATGCAAAAAAAGCTAAAAGAAAGAAAGGATGCACTGACGTAGAGAAAGATGAATTGAACTTAATGACCTGAAATTCCCAAAAATTTATCGGTGGGAGTCTACAAGGTTCGAACTGAGCCGTTACGAAAAAGATAAAAGATTCCATTCATTATAAAAACCCAATATAACTTATTATAATCTAAAAATAAAGAAATTAAATATGACAATACACCTTGTTTGTTATCCAAACTAAAAAATAGATAAGATTTATTACCAAAAAATGTTAAAATGATTTTTTATAAACACCATAATGTATCTATACATCTCCAAAAATATATTCACACCATATTTATGAAGATTTCAAGATAATCATTTATGGAAAAACACGAAGATATTTATCTTTATTATTTATAAGTAATAGTTGTGGATCACTTCTCAAGGTTTTTGATTGGTAATTTAAATCTAATGTGGTTTCCTGGTGATTTCCCGAAGCTGTAATTTTATCTAGAAAATAGAAATTTGATATTGTTCTAGTTTCTAAACGATTTTTTAAAGAAAATGAGGGAATTCATGAATCATCGGGAAAAATTTGGTCCATTTACAAAAACCCAAGACCTTGTTCCCAATAAGTCTCACTTCATTTGAAATTTTCAACTTTTAAACAAAATCATTTCTTCTTAAAACGAAATAGCGGTATTTAACAAATTAAAAATTAACAACAAAGGAATTTTTAATCCCGTAATAAATATTCATTTCTCCTTTTCATTTGCGTATACATCTACGCAATATCTCTTCATTTTACGTCAATAAATTATAGTATTATTCACCAATGTTAAAAAAAAAACCTTGAAACATTGCAAAAGGAAATGAGATTCTATCTAAAACTAATCCTATTTAGCTATAATCCCTAGAAAGAGATGACGCCAAAGTTAGAAAACCCAAATTCCATGAAAGTTGCCTTGAAGAATCATTTACTATATTCAACTTGCTTCGTAGAAGTTCTTTGACCTTAAAGTCTATTTATACCTGTTGCTCCTACTAAAATAAAACCGTTAATTTTACCTGATTTTTCTCCTTATTAGGTTGGTAAAGTGAAGGATTTTTAGATATGGACAGAAGTGATTTAAAATCTTCCACGGGAACATCGTCAAAGCAAACCGATTTTTTGCAAAATCCAGCTGAGAATACATCAAACGACGCAGTATTGTTAATAGATTTTGGATCAAGTGAAAACAGTGAAGATTTAAATATGGGAGGCGAAGAAAAAAAGGAAGATGAAAATTTTGAAGCTGATTTTGATGGATTTTTTAAAAAATCGCCCAATATAGCTATAAATATAACTGAGGATAGTGATGAAAGTAATTTTGAATCTTCTGACAAAGATCTAACAACAAAATCTCCTGGTGGATTTTTTAGTGTTGATTTTGAAGCAATCCCAGATGTGAATGTTTATCAACACAAGAAAACAGTAGCTCAAGGAATGATGGATTTGGCTTTATTTTCTGCAAATGCTAATCAATTACGTTTTGTCTTTGAAAATCCTAATCAATTTTACTATTATCCAGGAGTTACATTAATTTTAATGAGTTTAATATTTCAAGTAAGTTCTAATTGTTTTATTTTACTCAATACTTTAATAGTTAATAATCAATTAAGTAATCAACTAAAACAAAGAACCAAATTGCAATTGAAAATCATATCAAAAATCAAACAAATTCGTCCTTTAAAATGTAATCTTTTTAACAATAATTTTTTATTTTAGAATCTTTAAATATTACTCAAAATACTATTAATAGTATCAGTATTATTCATGATGTTAGCTGAATTAAACCACAAACTTGATAACAAAGAACAGAATGAGAAGTTTGATAATTATGTTAGTTCTTGTTCTGAGACCCTAGAGGTTAACACAGAAGAATTTCATCAAATTATAAATTCAAATTCTTCTGATAGCATGTTCAAACCAGTTGATGTTCATTTTTATCAACAAAAACAGACGGTTGCTAAAGGATTTTTGGATATCGCTTTATTTTCAGCAAACACAAATCAGTTTAGGTACATTTTGGATTCTGGTTCAACTGAACATCATTATTATTATTGCGGTTTGGTTCTTATAACAATTAGTTTAGCTTTTCAAGTAAGTTTAATTCAAAAATACTTATTTCAGTCTAATACATTTTTTTAAATTTTTTACAGGTTTTAGTTGGAATTGGACTCATCTTAAACACAAGATACAACGTAAAGAATAGAAGAGAAATATGTTTAGCAAATAAAATCAATAACTTTACGATTATAGGAATATTTTTAATTACTATTATTAACGTTTTTATATCCGCGTTTGGAGTTGCCGCCAATTCAAGTAACGACACTACCAACCTAAATTTGAGTGTAGTTCCTAAAGCTGCTAATTATTCACAACAATAATAATTTTAATGTACGAAATTAAATTATAAACCAAATAAGTATAGTTAATTAATAATGAGAAAATTAAAATTTATTTAATATATTTTTTTATAAAAAAACCTATAAATTAATTTTCCCCTAAACACAATTTAACTGTCAAATCTGACGTATCAAAAAAAAACGTATTTAAACATTACAAAAATCGAACCAAATGCTAATTTTCCGCCCGTGTGATGTTATCGAGGGTGTACAGGACTGAATCTGAGATAAGAAAACGTCAGATAAATACTTTAAAGGTGTTCAATGACAAGTAAGTGACCGTAGAAAAAGAACCTAACCTCGAATATCGACATCAAAAATTAATTGCAATTAATTCTTTGTTGTAGTGTAAATGAAATTAATGAAGGTAACGAATATCAGGTATCATTTCAAGCTGGAGGGAATGATTTTTCTTTAGTCATAAGCCTTACAGCCGATTTTCCCAATGAAAAACCGATACTAAAAATTATCCCTTTTGTGGTTCATCCTTGGGTTAACGGTGATGGTGAAATAACATCAGCACCGGGATTATTAAATGTAAGTTTATAAAATATTAAAGATTTAATGGTTAAAATTATTTTTGTTAGTTCACGGTTCATTCTGATTTGGGACGAGTCGTGCAGGCTGTTATAAGAGAATTTGAACGTAATCCCCCTCCTTTGGTTTCTGAACAACTAAATAATAGTAATATTACATCTCCAACAGTTCCTATGGGAGGTTAAAATAATTAATTTTAATAATTTAAATCAATATTTAAACAAATTATTTTAGAAATAGATAATATGGGTAGAGTGAGTCCTAATTACCATTTAAATTACGTAAATAGACTTAGTTTTTCACCCCCTACTTCATCCGGATTTCAAACTATCGCGTTTCCTGAATTAAACAATTTAAGTTTGGACGAGTTGCAGTTTTTAAATGAAAATGAAGATAGATTGGAGGAGTTTTTGGAAAATTTACCTCAAATGAAAGAGATGAATCGACGTTTAGATGATACAATATTAAATGTTGAAGAAATGGCAGGTAAAAAAGGTGCTTTATTTAATTGTTTTCTTAATTATTCGGATTAGATTCTAATTTAAGTAAAGAAGAACAATTAGTGAACCTACAAAAAGGTATTGATGAAAGAATAGAAGAAGTAACTAAGTTAGCATTTGAAAATGAACGATTAAATGTTAAGTATCAAAGTTTATCTGATAAGTATTCACCAAGAAATATTCAGGTAATTCATAAAAAATGATGATATACAGTGTGTTAATTAATTATCCTACCCAACGTCATCATAGCAAGTATGCAACCAATATACCAATAGTGTGATGTTGGTTGCACTATATAATAATTAATAATAAACGTTTATTTTATAGGAAGAATTAAAATTGGCTGCAGAACAATCTGAACGAGATACTGAGAAAATAGCCGAATCATTTTTAAAAGGTGAAATGGACGTTGATAAATTTGTCACTCTTTTTATGCAATCAAGAGCTTTAACTCAAATGAGAAAAACTAAGGAAGAAAAATTATCTCAACAGCTTGAAAGTTTAGAAAGGGCTGGCTTTTAAAAATTATTTTTTAGTATTTTTCCGCTTTACAACTGTGATTTAATCTTGTTCTTTTATTTTCGATATTATAAGTTCTGTTTATTCATTTTTTTTTCTGATATATTTTATTTATTAGTAAAATAAAATCTTATTCAAATAAAATAAGCATGTTTTTAAGTTTCCTTAAAGGGTTCAGATCAAGTCTTTGAAGATATAACAACGTGCCCAAGGAAAAAGCAATTATGCGCTCATAAAATCGTTAAAAAGTGTTGAAATTAATTAGAAGTATTGTTACGTGCAATTTGGGTTGCCTATTTCATTATTTAATCTTTTATTGTAAGTGCGCTTTGAAAATTTAGTGTCCGTTGATACCATAGACGTTAAATTCAAAAACACACAGCTTCTGAACAAGATCGGATATATATCATGGATAACGACCCGAAACTGCAGTTAGTTTTGAGTGAGAATTCGGTCAAAAACAGAAGTCTGACAGAGAGTTTCTAGGAGGAGAGATGGAGTGAAGAGTTCGTAGTTGAGTGAATTTTGAGTTGGGGTTCGGTCAAGAGTTAGAGTTCTGAGAAAAGTTTTTCCAGTGCAGCTTAGAGAAGTAATTCGAAATGAGTACTTTCCAAGAAGTTAATTCGTAGTCTAATTTGTATGTAGGTGTTCAATATTATTGTATGCATTTTGAATCAATCCATAAGATTGCAAAATACATTTAATTCTTGTCTTAGAGAGCGGCCCTCTCATCACCGCGATTGCAACTTACACCCTTAAAAGGCTAGGTCTTTAATGATCCTTAGTATTGCTCCAAAGTCTTGTTCCTTTAGTTTCCTTGAATTTCCAAGAGCAAAGATGGAATGAAGAGGTCGTGGTTGAGTGAGTTTTGAGTTGCGGTTCGGTCAAGATTTAGAGTTCCAAGAGTGGAATTCAATGAACAATTCGACGGAAGAACTTTTCCAGTGCAGTTCAGAGAAGTAGTTTCTAAGGAGACATTTGGTAGTCTGGTCCAGTGGAGTCAAGAAGAGAGTTGAGAAGAATTAAGTTGAAAAATTTAATTTTCGGTCAAGAGAAGTCACTCCCAAGAGAAACCCTTACTTCCAAGACACTTTTAGATTCATACTTGAGTAGGTTATGATCAAAAGCGGCCAAATCCACAATTTGTCATTTTCGGTTTTATTTTATTTTGCAACTATAGATGTCTAAACAGACCATATCTCATGGAAATTGTTGTCTAAATTTTGATCTGAGTTGCAAAATCGGCCAAATCCACTGCTGTTTGTGCATCAGAAGCGGCCAAATCCATCGTGCATACGTTAAAGCAGTTATGATCATATGTTCGGCAGCGTTGGTTGATGGTATTTATTGTCAAATTTTAACCGAATTCGTCACTTCGAACTTGTTTCTGAAGAAGGTTGCAACATGGCATCCGAAACGTCAAACATTTTTTCAAAAAACGCACGGCTTAACCCGAAAGTTTCTAGTTCTAGTGTTAGCTCTAGTTTTAGTTTAATTAACACCGGCCGTGAAAGCCTTCATATTTATAGGATAAAATTAATCTTTCCACAAAACGATGTGTACATAGAAGCGCTGTTAAATCGACAGTCACTCCTCCGAAAATTTCACCCCTTATGTACGATCACAGTGTCGTCGAAGAAATGAAATTTACAGTTTTCTGCAAATGACGGGGTAGTATTACAGAAAACTGTAAATTTTATTTCTTCGACGACACTAGAAAAGTTTATTTTTAACTTTATTCTAAAACAATAAGAAATAGACCTATCTAACCCCATATTTTTGTAATCAGAAAAAAATAACGAATTTAATAAGCGAATAATCAATGTTGTTTCCATTTAAATAAACGAAAATTGGGATAATCTCAAAATCTAAAACCGAAAAAAATTTTTGTACTGCGTCATCAAATTCTCTGTAAAAAGTGTCCATATAATGTCTTCGTTATAATACTCCACCTATAATAATAACCAAGATAATTGCACTTGTTGGTTTTATGATATTTTCAATTTTGCCCTCTAGGGGAAAAACAAAAGACGATAGCGCTTTGAGGTTTTCGACATTGGAATTTATTTAAAAAAAGAGATCGAGACATGTAAGCTACTTTTTTTTTAACTTTTATAGTTTCTGAGATAGCCTATTCGGACATCGAATTTGAACCACCTGTACAATTCAAAAATCGATTTGGTGGCTGTATATAGGTGCTCAATATTATTGTATGCACTTTCATTGATTGCAAAACAAATTTAATTCTCGTCTTCCAATGCCTAGTGGACGCATAACGAAACAATTTACTTCGAAGCGAATGTTGATTACTGGTTTTGCATTTAAGTCTATTCGACCACAGCAACAAAACTAACCGAGTTTAAACTCAACACCTTTTGGTCCATCTTTCTCAAATTGCATAGTGTCTTTACATTTATCCAAGAATTTCCTGGCTCTTCCATTTTCTGGTGGACTGAACGAACAGTGAATAGTTGAAGCTTTTTTTTATGAAAAAGGAGCAATAAAAAAGTCAATTTTATAATGTTTAATTAAACATCTATTTGGTATTAATAATTAAAGCTACAACACATAAAGAACATGACAATACGACTTTTTTCAGACAGTCAAGCCGCTCTCCACCCGCTGCAGGCCGTGAAAACGGTGTCTGCTCTAGTTAATGACTGTAAAAGAATTTTAAACACACTGAGTTGTGATAACAGTTTCTCTGATCTGGGTCCCAGATCACTCTGAGGTTGCTGGCAATGAAGTGGCAGATGAGCTATCATGAGAGGGCAGCGCTAAACCGTTTGTGGGGCCAAAGCCAGCAGTTGGTATATCATTGCTTTTTTTATGAAAAAGGAACAATAAAAAAGTCAATTTTATAATGTTTAATTAAACATCTATTTGGTATTAAAGCTATTACAATTGAGAAAAAATACTTAAATGTATAATTAAAATAGATATGGGAAATGTTGTGAGTAAAAATAAGACATTACTTTTAAAAGTAAAAAATAAAATAATCCGACTAAACAAATTTCCTAAAAACTAAACAATATGAATTATTTTAAAAATCCGCTTCAGTACTAAAATCTTCTATATCATCTTGAGCAACACCAGCTTTTTGGTACTCCCCAACCTTTTTCTCAAAGAAATTAGTACGCCCATCATCAGATATAAGATTCATAAAATCAAATGGATTAGTTGAATTGTATAATTTTTCACAACCAAGTTCAGTTAATAAACGATCGGCAACAAACTCAATGTACTGCGACATTAAATTGCAATTCATCCCGATTAAACTAACCGGAAGAGCGTCAGTTAAAAATTCCTGTTCAATTTCAACCGCATCGCGAATAATACTCGTTATACGTTCCTTTGACGGCTTTTGAATAAGATATGTAAACAATAAACAAGCAAATTCGTAATGTAAACCTTCATCGCGCGAAATTAATTCATTAGAAAACGTTAAACCGGGCATTAAACCCCGCTTTTTCAACCAAAAAATAGCTGCNTTTGGAAAAAATGTAGAGGAAGATGATCAAATGGGCGTTGAAGACGAGGAATTGTCAACGATCGAAGACGTATTATAATCAGGCAACCACTGCTCATGCTTCATTCTTGCGACGATGCCCAGTTCCACTTGAGCTTTGCCACAATGTTGACCACATCATTTAAACCAGTTCTTCTTCGTAGGTCTTCATTTCGTATGTGGTCCCACAGGGTTACACCCAGCATCGACCTCTCCAGCTTTCATTGCGTTACTTTGAGCCTCCTGGTAATGGCCACCGTTAATGTTAAAGTTTCAGAACCGTATGTCGTAACCTAAGGAGGAAGCAGGCATTGATTGAAAGCCTTTCTTTTCAAATAAACAGGAATATCGCTCATGAAGATGTCTCTAAGTTTCCCGTATTATCTCTCGATACACGAACCTCATGGCCAAGATATACATAACTGTTAACCCCCTCAATCTCATTATCCCCAATGTTGATGTTAGAGCTGGGAACAAGATTTGTCATAAATTTTGATTTCTCCACGTTGATCTTTAGCCCGACTTTTGCACACCTCCTGTAAGTCGTTCAGCATCAGTTTCATCTCTCCAAAGCTATCCGAAATAAGAACTATATCGTTCGCGTAGCGCAAATTACTTAGGTATTGCCATCAATGTTTATACCTTTTTGGGTCCAATCTAATTTCGGTCAGTACTTACATGCAATTTTACCGTCATTGTAGCATTCTTGTAAATGTTATAAATAAGTTTGGTGTATCGATAATCGCATTCTTGAACTACTTGCAAAACTGCCATCAACTCAATTTAAATCAAATTTTATAAATACCTCTAAATACCCATTTTGGGTAAATACCCCCTGGTATTTTCCAGGGAATTTTCCGTTGAAAATAAATACCCGGGTATTTAACAACACTGGTTGTGATAACAGTTTCTCTGATCTGGGTCCCAGATCACTCTGAGGTTGCTGGCAATGAAGTGGCAGATGAGCTATCATGAGAGGGCAGCGCTAAACCGTTTGTGGGGCCAAAGCCAGCAGTTGGTATATCATTGCTTTTTTTATGAAAAAGGAACAATAAAAAAGTCAATTTTATAATGTTTAATTAAACATCTATTTGGTATTAAAGCTATTACAATTGAGAAAAAATACTTAAATGTATAATTAAAATAGATATGGGAAATGTTGTGAGTAAAAATAAGACATTACTTTTAAAAGTAAAAAATAAAATAATCCGACTAAACAAATTTCCTAAAAACTAAACAATATGAATTATTTTAAAAATCCGCTTCAGTACTAAAATCTTCTATATCATCTTGAGCAACACCAGCTTTTTGGTACTCCCCAACCTTTTTCTCAAAGAAATTAGTACGCCCATCATCAGATATAAGATTCATAAAATCAAATGGATTAGTTGAATTGTATAATTTTTCACAACCAAGTTCAGTTAATAAACGATCGGCAACAAACTCAATGTACTGCGACATTAAATTGCAATTCATCCCGATTAAACTAACCGGAAGAGCATCAGTTAAAAATTCCTGTTCAATTTCAACCGCATCGCGAATAATACTCGTTATACGTTCCTTTGACGGCTTTTGAATAAGATATGTAAACAATAAACAAGCAAATTCGTAATGTAAACCTTCATCGCGCGAAATTAATTCATTAGAAAACGTTAAACCGGGCATTAAACCCCGCTTTTTCAACCAAAAAATAGCTGCAAAACTTCCCGAAAAGAAAATACCCTCAACGGCCGCAAAAGCAACTAAACGTTCCCCAAAAGTCGCGTTTTTACTACTAATCCAATTTAAAGCCCAATCAGCTTTCTTTTTAACACAAGGAAGCGTTTCGATGGCGTTAAATAAAAATTCTTTTTGTTTTGGATCAGAAATATAAGTTTCAATTAACATGCTGTACATTTCAGAGTGAATATTTTCAATAGCAATTTGAAAACCGTAAAAACAACGTGCTTCCGTTACCTGAACTTCTTGACTAAAACGTTCAACTAAATTTTCGTTTACAATTCCATCAGAAGCAGCAAAAAAGGCTAAAACATGGGAGATAAAATGACGTTCGTTATCGGTTAATGTTTGCCAATGATTGAGATCTTTCGAAAGATCTACTTCTTCAGTGGTCCAAAATGAAGCTTCCGCCTGTTTGTATTTCGCCCAAATATCAGGATACTCAATGGGAAAAACGACGAAACGTCTTGGATTATCACGAAGTAAAGGTTCAATTTTTGGATCGAAATTCATTAATTCATTGTTATTGACGATGGATTTTTGGTTTACGGCTTGTTTTTCTTTGGAATCTTTCATGATGTTGACACCATTTTCAACCAACACCTTTCTTAAGGGTGAAAGATCGATGTTTTCTTTATTCGAAGGCATTTCTAACAAAAAGGCGATAAATTAATAACCAAAATGACTAATTATATACGAATAAAAATGTTACTTACTGAATGCTGAATAATTTTATTTGGGTTTTTGGTTATGTTTAAAATCGGTTTTCGAGGGAAACTGCTGCATTTTAGCGGGAACGCTGTTATATACTTGGTAGGTTTCGCGCCAAATTCTTTAAAGGTCCCTTTTAACGATTTTCATTGGCTCTAAATGGGGAAATTTGTAAACATAACCAATCAAAACTTAGAAATCGTGGCCATATTTATTTTCCACATGACTAAGTTGAGCCCTAACTCACACAAATTCGTTTTTAATGATGCACATGTTATTAAATTAAAATAAAATTAATTATTCATCTATCTTAATAGATAAATTAAGCGAAAAATGTTATATTATTAAGTTTTAATTAGTATTTATTGCTTTAAATTGATGAAATTAAAAAGTAGCGAATTGTAAACAAACGTATCAACTATGACTTAAACTTAATATTCTTTTTTGTGTAATTCAAGGAAATTAAATGTTGCGTAAATGAAGATAATAATGCGCGGGAAATTAACAGAAAACACGCCAGTTGTTGATTTACTTAGATTTTAGATTGTATTAAACAAACACGAGAAATACTTACTTGTAGCAGGTTAAAACAGGCTAAAAATATCGTGTCATATCATAACACAAACTAGTGATACTGCAACTCTATTGTCTAATAAACAATCTAATCCATTTTAATGTTTTTAAAATAAATAAATAAATAAGATGTTGTGTACTCTATTAGGAAAAAAGATCCAATTGACTTTGACAAATAAGTATTTCAAAAGTTGCATTTCACCCAATTTCACCTTATTTATTGCATCGTTTTTATGCCATGCAAAAGTCTGCGAAATACTGCTAGACATTAAGCAAGCTTACAGCCTGGGGACGTACCAGAGTTGGGTAGTATCCGGTTACTTTTTGAGTATCCGATATTCTGTATCCTTTTCAAATTTTTGTATCCGGTATCTGTGACTAAATCTGAACGTATCTGGATACCTTTTAATTGAGTTTTCTTATAACCTATTCTGTTATTAGTGTTATTACACACGTACATATATACCAGAGTGTTTGAATCCCCATTTTTTTCAGTTTCTTCTACTATTGTACATCTTTTGTGACTACATCAATAATTGTCGCTTTACATGTTGGAAGTTAGTTGTTCTTCTCTTTTATTATTGTGGGAAAATCGGGGGCTCTCTCTCCGACTTCAATTTGTACACTAAATTTCCTTTTAGAAAAAATTCAAAGAACTCACTTCCTAGCAAGAGTAATTTTTTTAGTGTCGGCAAAGAAATTAAATTTACAGTTTCCTGTAAATTACGGTACTATAAAAATTATTCTACTAAAAATTTATATAAAATTTACTTTATTTTCTAACATGTTAAACTTTTCGTAATCCATCTTAAAAAACATTATTTTTAATTAGGCACTTCAGAAAATTTTTGAATACAAACAAATGTTGCTGTTTATTTGAATTATAAAAAAAACTATATGAGCGCCATCTATCAATAATTTATTAAGTCATTTAATAATAAATAATAATATTAATAAAAATATGAAATAATGCAATCTATTCCAACTTTTGTGTAAAACAAATATAAATTAAATAGTTCAACAAATGTATTTGTTTCAAATATCAGAAATATGCTTTTTTAATTTTTAGTTATAATTTACAGGTAACTGTAAATTTAATTTCTTTGACACTAAAAAAGTTTATTTTTAGCTTTATTCTAAAACAATAAGAAATAGACCGGTCAAACCCTATATTTTTGTAATCAGAAAAAAATAACGAATTTAATAAGCGAATAATCAGTGGTTGACAATAGTAAACTAATGAAGTATAGACGACTATAGTGAGCCATTCGTGGTTTAAGACCCCAGTTCCTTCTTATCGTTAGTTTAGTTACACAACGTTCAGAAATATGCTTAAATCAAGTCAAATAAAACACAGTATACTTTTTTACTGTTTTTCTTCATTTTTAGCCTTAAAAATACTTGCAGCTGACTTATCGTTATCGTGTTGTTGCTTATGTTGTCTTCTTTGCTAGGGTTAGTTACTAAATTGAATAAATACTACTACCTTTATAGAAACAATCCTTGTTTGAGTTTTTCTGACATTTATTCACTTAATGCATTCGAGATAACAGTACTTCAAATTCTTTACTCTTTGCAAATCTTCAAATATGTAAAAGATCTTTTAAGTACGAATCCCAGTCGTTCCACGTAATTTAACCAAAACTGATTTATTATGGTCACTGAGAGAATTGGCATGTTATGGACAGACCACAGAATGCGGTCTTTTCGTTATTCTGTGGTACAGATTATTTAAATTGATTTGATTGGTCCATTCAATGTATATTTGAAGTTTCGATTGAGGGAGATGAACAGGATGTTTGCACGAGGTAATCCTGCAGGAATGTCTGGATGGGAGGAGAGAGCTGAATGGGTTTGTGGATGAGTAGTGATAAATTAATTGATGGCAGGCGAAGGAAGCTGCATGCCATAAGACAAATCGGGTGTCATCATATTTTATACATGGTCAAGACATTAAGCAAAATTTCCCTAGAGTCATAAAACGATTACTATAGCCATATTTTCATTCAAACATTTTATTTGGTAATAAATGGCGTATCGTGCCATAGTTTAAGACAAGCATTTTTGGCACAAGAAACTATTGCCTAATACATTTTTGACATTGTAAAATTGAATGCAAGAATATTTGGTATCATCAATAAATAAACAATAAAAAAAATCTGTTTTCTTAATTTATTTTTTTATATTATTATAAACATAACATCAGAAACCCATTGTTTAAATCACATATAACCTAAACTTTCGGTCCCTTCAGTTACTTCTTAGCGGGAGCGGCCTTCTTCTTCGTCGCCGTCTTCTTGGGTTTACCCTGTTTGGCCTTCATTATCAACTCTCTTCGCCTTTTTTGAAGTGCAGCCGACTTGATAACTACGTTATCCGGACTCAAAGTGATACCCCGTTTTTTCGCAACTGCTTCTTGTCTAGCAAACTTCCTTTTTTGTTCAGACAAAATTGCTTGTCTCTTCAATACAGCAGCATATGGATTCAAACGTAACATTGCCCTAGCGTTGGTGAGAGGATTGAGACGACGCACAGCGCGAACAATCTTCTTTCTAAAAATTTAAATAAAAAAGATAAGTAATTTTAAGACAAAACAATTTCTATAAAAATTAAGTTGGAGTTTTAAACGAATCAGAATTTGGTTTTAACAACACAGTTATTTCAGAACCCAATGCTCTGAATAAAAAAGTTTCATCACTTAACAATATAAATGAAAATATTTAATTAAAAAATTAAGAAATACGTACTGTGGTGCACGAAGTACACTCTTAATTTCTTCAGCTTTCAACAAACGAGATAAATCAGTGTTGGCCATTTTAGGTTGGGGCAAATTGTAACCTTTCTTTTCAACAGAAGAGTTTTTCCAAGTTCCAAACAATTTGTCCAAACGTTGGAAAGCAGATTCGGTCCAGATTATAAAACGACCTACGTGACCGCCAGGGGCCAATTTAAGCAAATTCAATTTTTCAACGCTAATTAAATCAATTCCAGGGATGTTACGGAAAGCGCGACGAAGACCTTGGTCTTTATGGTAAACAATGAGGGGGCCTTTACGTTGGATACGTCTCCTATTACGCATTTTACCCTTTCCAGCGCGGAATCTTTGCGATTTATAAACCTATAATTAAAAAAAATATATTTTTTTTGCAGTTTAAAATAAAATGAGGGTTAAAATGATGTTTTAATATTCTTCAGTAGTTTTGATTAATGAAATCATTAAAACTCATAAACACGGACCAAAACTAATTCATCATTTAACTTAACCTCACTTTTTCTTATTTGTGGGCCTTAAATTACCTTTTGGATATCTGCCCAGGCTTTAACACGTCTCAAAAAGATAACCGCTTGTTTGGTCTTAGTTAATTCTTGAACTTTATCAGAAACAACGAGGGGCAACTCTGGAATCTGATCAATAACATGTCCTTTGCTCATTACAAGGGCTGGGACTCCGCTGGCCGCTACAGCCGAAGCGAGGGCATAACGACGTTGGTTGATATTAACACGTCTATGCCAGCGACGCCATGGTTTCGTTGGGGCGAACATTCGTCCACCACGACACATATTACCGAAAGCACCCTGACCAGAGCGGTGGGTACCTCCACCACGGACACGCGGAATACGGGCGACAGCGCGACCAGTACCCCATGATTCAGCAGAAGTTTGATGACCTAAAAGAGTTTGTTTTAATACAAATTGATTTATGGGTTAGAATTAAGAAAAAAGAAATTGAATTAATCAGAATTTGTATTTAACAACATGGTATGTTCAGAACCCAATGCTCTGAATAAAAAGGGTAACATCACTTAAATCTTGTAATTCCTATTTGGACAGCTGACAATTTCAACATAACCTCAAAATTTGAAATGTCAAATTTAAGGATAAATAAATAAATAAAAATATAATAAAAACAACATGGTATGTTTCTCTGAATGAAAAAATATACTATTCTATATTTTTTTTTGATATTCTCCTTTTAATAAGTGACAATTAAAACATAACCTCAAAATTTGAAATGTCACATTTAAGAACATCAATAAAGTAAAAATGTTAATAATATCAATAAATAAATATAATAAAAACAACATGGTATGTTTCTCTGAATAAAAAATATACTATTCTATAATTTTTTTTGAGATTCTCCTTTTAATAAGTGACAATTAAAACATAACCTCAAAATTTGAAATGTCAAATTTAAGAACATCAATAAAGTAAAAATATTAATAATATCAATAAATAAATAAGGATATAATAAAAAACACTAAAAATAAATTTTATTCAACATCTTTATAACTTATATTAACTTAAATTAATATTCTTTAAGAATTTTTATGTTTTTTACCTGCTTTATCGCTGACACAATACGCTTGGCGATGATTGAAGGAAATTTGTTCGTGAACGAAATTCACGACATCAGGCCTAATTGGGGCCTTGAAGACAGCTGGCAAACGAACAGACTTGCCTTTAACCTCTTCAGACTTTTCGCTGTAGATACTAACCAAAGGGCGTGCCGTTGATAACGACTACAAAAATAAAAAAAAAAACCTTTAAGCCCCAACCAAAAAAAAGTAAACCAAAGTATTGTTTAAGAATAAGTAATCAGTGCTTTTGTAGGGTAAAGTCATTAAAACTCATAAACACGGACCAAAAGCTGTACCTCATCATTTATAACTCAATTAATCTCAAAAAAGGATGTAAAAATTAAATAAAATTGAAGAAAACCATCGCTTTTATCTCACAACATGGATGAAAATATGGTTAGAACACACGTGGCCGGTGTATTTTTTGATTTATTTAGCAATAATTAGGGAATATGTTTTAATTTTTTATTGTCCCCGTGTTGGCTGAAACTTATTTAAAGAAAATAAACAGTATTTGAAATAAACTTACCATCTTGTCGATCACTTAAAACTATTTTCTGTCAAGACACACATCAAGCGAACACAAAGTCCGCCATACAAAAGGAAGTTTCTCGTAGGCGATTCGCTATATCTCCGATGGTGGCGCTACCATCTTCCGGTTCATTCGAAATTTCACTTTATTAAAATAATTAATTACAGATTTAATTTTAAAAATAATTATTAATTGATTTTAAATCATTTATAACAACAAATTAATCATAAATTTAGGAAAAATAAAAATGTTTTATTGCAAATAATAACATTACTTATTTCACCAATAGATGGCGCTTTTCATTAATCGTTTATCACATAAAATGAATTAATCGTGAAATCTTTAATTATTATATATAACATTTAAGTATTATTAAATGTTGTGTTATTTAGTAATAATTAAATTGACGAAAAATAAAAACGATATTTAAAAAAATTTGTATTAAGGTTAGTGCAGCAATTAATCGTTAGATGGCGCATTTTAAAATTTATTTAAATTTGAAATATTAACATTATTACAATAATTAATTACTATTTCATATATCATTTAACCACGTGGTGTAACTACTTTGTAACAATTCGCAAAACTTGTTAATTATTAAAATCTAACAACCTGTATATGTGTACTATGCAGAAACTATCCATTAAAACTTTGTTAGCAACCCAAACGTGTAATTTTACAAATTAACCCTTCTCAACACCATGTAATACGAAGCGGACGCCCTTAAAATCTGTAAAAATTTTAAAAATCCCTCTTTCCCTCTTTAATTAGATTTTAAATTTCATTCCAACGTACATTTACGTAAGTTTCCAATGTTAAATAAACGAATTTTCCTGCTGATAATTTTAAAGGACGTTGTGCTCTTTGTATCATTAAAACCAAATATTTTTGTGTTTCGACGTCGGTCACTATCCAATCAGAAGTGTACGCTGATATAGCTACATCTAAACTTTCGACTCTTACTTCGTTTCCATTCCAACAATACATAAATAACTGAAATAGCATTAAAGCTAAGTAACAAACCATGCTGAAGAATTTCGCTGAGGTTACTTCATACTAAAAAATTTTGGGATCAATTTATTTCATAAAAAAATCTAAATCCAATTTACTAATGATAATTGAAATAGTTGGAAACACATTAATAATAAACTTCCTAAAAATTGGGCCAACATTAAATAATGAAATTCATTTTCGACGTTATCTGAAAGAGAAATTATGTCTTGGTGATGTTGGATACATTCACTAACATATTTTCGAGCAAGTTTTTGTGCTTTAGGTGGTAATTTTTCAATTTCAACATCATTTTGTGTTTTATAACTCGAATTATTCTAAAAACATTGAAACAAAGAACTAAATTAACTGCAATAATTTAATAAATACCTTTAATTTAGCTCTTTCCACATAATGTTGTAAACTATTCTTTAAAATTAATAATTGAGCTTTTAAATGTATCATAAAACTAGCGATTAAAGAATCACAAGTAAAAACCAACAATCCATACAGCCCACAACTAATTATTTGGTAAGAAAAACCAATTTCGTAAAATGGGCTTTTATTAGTATCGAAAGGAAACCAAGTTGTATAAGGCATAACTTGAACGTGTGTTAATAACGTTTGATTTAATTTCTCATCGAAAATTTCATTGAAATAACCTTTATTAAAACCGGCGTAAAATCCTCTATTTGCCACAATCATAATAACGAGAGAATGAAAAACATATGTTTGCCAATTAGAAATGTTTATCGCATTCTTTATTATTTCAAATTCCAACTTTCCGCCTCTTTCGTAATTCGGTAAAAAGTAACCTTTTTCTAATATTTCGCAGTAATATTTAATACTACCTCTGTGTACTAAAATTACTATCGTTTTACATAAACCTAAAATAAAATAATAAATTACAAAAACAAATTTAAACAAAAATTTTACCGGTGAAATGAGTGACCAAATAACAAAAATTGAAAGTCATATTATCCAAATCGCCCCAATTAACAATTAAATCCATCGCTTCCGTTATAATGTAGATATAAACGATGATCGTTAAAAAAACTGTTGAGTAAATGTTATAAAGTTTCTTTGAGAATTCGTTTTTGAAGTCTCCAATGTGGACACCGAGTAATTTTAAAACAAAGAGATGTAATTTGAAGTAATTTCTCGGGGGTTTTAATGAATCCATTTTGTACGAATGGATATAAGAAAATGACAAGAAATTGCCATGAGTAAAGAGTAAGGGTGCTTAAATAGTAAGGTAAAGCAGAGGAAGGTATGTAATTATTGGTCTTTTAAAGCGTTGTGTAAAGTGTAAAGAGTATTTAAAGGAGGTTTAAAAGTTGTTAGGAGTTCTTTTAAAAGTTTTGTTTTGAGTTTTATTGAAAGAAATTATACGGTCTGGAAAATTAGATGTTTAACAAATTAGTTGGTCTATACTCGACTTTTTCCCATACTTATGATTATTTTAGATGATTCTTGATTATTTGGTTTTATTAAGTACTTATATTATCAAGATAGATATGTCGATTATTAATATAAATGAGGATTTCAAGTAATTTTGGTAATAAAGATCTGGAATTTTGAGATAATGCACTCAAAAATAAGTCCCAGATAGTATAGTGGTCAGTATCCCCGCCTGTCACGCGGGAGACCGGGGTTCGATTCCCCGTCTGGGAGATTTTTTTGTAACGTTAAAACAATTATAAGAAAATCAAAATTTTTGAAAGTAATAATAATAAGAAATATAACACAATTTTAGGAGTTTATCATTCTAAAGGAGTTTTAGTGGGAGCAAAAAAACATAACCCAATTCTACTTGCGTAAGGAATGTATGATAGATAGATTACTCTTGAGGAGAAACAATATGTCATAGTAAAACTTTTTGCTGGCTATATCTACTATAGTGAGCTTATAGGCAGAAAAGACATCGCGCGGTTTCTGCCCATTTCCAGTAAATAACATCATCTTTTGTATATCACGTAACTAAAAGCGCAAGTAGGATTAAAATTTGTCGAATCATAGAATCATAAATATCCATATAGCGTCTTACCGAAATTGTAGTCTTGGATCAAAAAGGTAAACTTCAAAACCGTGACCTCTGAGATCAGCTCATTTCCAAAACAGGCATTCCCATTATTCTTCAATTGTAGTCACATAATATTTGGACTCAACTTGAAAATATATACCCAAACTTGAAAAATGTCTAAAATATGAGATTTATTTGAAATATTTCAAAGACAACTTTATCTATAAATTAAGCAGGCAAAAGTTAAATGTAAAAATCAAATCTAATGAAATACCAAAAAGGGTAGCAATGGCGGAACTACTGATGCATAAAAGAAAGGTCAAAAAGTTTTATAACAAAATTGCAGATATAACAGTAATCTTTACAGAGAGATAACGTGATGACTATCGGTTTGATTATATACAGAACTTGTCTTTTATGCCAGTGCTGGAAATATTTTATCTTAAAAAATGATGGTATTATGTTTCCAGTATTCATGATGTAGGCCGTGGAAACTTCACCTTCTATACATGAGATCCCACAAGTTATAACTTACCATGCTACAACAAAATAGATCATACTAGACTTTCCAAGTATGACAAGTTAAGTTTATAACCAGAAAAGTTTTGTTATTATTTCAACGTTCTTTCAATAAGAAGTTTCGCAATAACTTTGTCAAGGTTGATTGGTAAAGCAACATTCCATGACTTACAAAAATTCATAACTAATTAATGCATCCGTGTATCAATTTGAAATTTTGGGAAAAAGTTATTTTCATTGAGGTATATAATAATGGCTAATGGTAATATAGCTATACTTATAAATAATTATTTCCATATTTTTTTTAATTTTTGAGTCTAGCTCTAACCATGGGCATTGAAAGCTAGAAGACTAAAGGTGACTACAATACAATGTAGAGGAAGAAGTAAAAAAATTAGTATTAATTTTGTCTGTAAGTCTGTGAAGTGATCTTAGACATCATTGCAAAATTGATCACTGTGCTTCACCTTCTCTGAATCGACAACCTAGCATGCACAACCTATTTAGTCGTTGTTTAATCATTATGGACCTGAGCCATGTTTCTCACACTAATTCTTAAGCTACAGCTAAAAAATGTAGTTTCCTGCGATCTGTTGGAATTCTTCCGAAAAGTTTTGTATAGAATGTAATTGTTTGTCAAATTAATACTTTAAGACTATAAAGTAACACTAAAATCACCTTTTCAAATCTCCCAGGAGAACCGATAACAGCTCTTGCGTTTTGTTTAGCTTTTTATCTCTGCCACCGCTTTATCCTTTCCTTTTAGTCCGTATCTTATAAACTCATTACCTTCACACAGCTTAACAGTTATTCCACGTGATATTGGATTTGTTGTTGCCGTCGTCGCTCATTGTCGGTGTTGGGTTCGTTTTTCAATCTATCTATCAAAGCAATTGCCATTTCAACGTCTTCCTCTGTATACGGGTTTGCAGTTTATACTCCTGGATCTTTTCACCATTTCGATATCTAAATATACATATGTATTTATTGACAACCTGGAACTGTAAGACTATCTGCTCAAAAATAAGTCCCAAATCGTATAAAATACTATATTTTACACCATATTTCGTATACAAGCCAGAGCGATAAGAATAGTAGAAAATGGAGCGGCTGAATTGAGCCTGGAGCTGAATTATAACAAATGTGGTATACTTGATACATGAATGAAAACTCAAGAGCAGGTCGATGAAGATCATAGACCACAAATTCGTAAAGCATACAAGTATTTGGGTATTCACCAGATAGAAAGAGACTAGCAAAATAACTACGGACTACTAACGCCAAAAATTATAGATAAAGCCGCACAAATAATGAACTCAGGCAATTTTCTTGGAGCATNCGTTTTGTTTAGCTTTTTATCTCTGCCACCGCTTTATCCTTTCCTTTTAGTCCGTATCTTATAAACTCATTACCTTCACACAGCTTAACAGTTATATTATTCGACGTGATATTGGATTTGTTGTTGCCGTCGTCGCTCATTGTCGGTGTTGGGTTCGTTTTTCAATCTATCTATCAAACCAATTACCATTTCAACGTCTTCTTCTGTATACGGGTTTGCAGTCTATACTCCTGGATCTTTTCACCATTTCGATATCTAAATATACATGTGTATTTATTAACAACCTGGAACTGTAAGACTATCTGCTCAAAAATAAGTCCCAGATCGTATAAAATACTATATTTTACACCATCTTCGTATACAAGCCAGAGCGATAGGAATAGTAGAAAATGGAGCGGCTGAATTGAGCCTGGAGCTGAATTATAAGAAATGTGGTACACTTGATACATGAATGAAAAGTGAAGAGCAGCTCGATGAAGATCATAGACCACAAATTCGTAAAGCATACAAGTATTTGGGTATCCACCAGATAGAAAGTGTCTAGCAAAATAACTACGGACTACTAACACCAAAAATTATAGACAAAGCCGCACAAATAATGAACTCAGGCAATTTTCTTGGAGCATAGCTTCCACGACTGGTTTTCGCTTAACCCATATTGAACTAGTATTTCCTATAGCCATTGCTCTTTTGTTGATTATTAATACAAATGAGGATTTCAAGTAATTTTGGTAATAAAGATCTGGAATTTTGAGTTAATGCACTCAAAAATAAGTCCCAGATAGTATAGTGGTAAGTATCCCCGCCTGTCACGCGGGAGACCGGGGTTCGATTCCCCGTCTGGGAGAATTTTTTTACATTTTAAAATTTAAGATATAATTAAATTATTATTTTTAATGGATTGATTAATTAATCTTGTTAGTTACAGCGTAAATGTTTGATATAATCATGATTAAATTAAGTATAATTTCCAGATAGTATCATTCTAAAACTTTATCACTGTGTTAGTGTGTGCCACACTGGACGTCGCGCCTTTATTTCTTTAGACGGAGATATTTGTTTATCCCGTTAAACTTATTATATTTATTGAAACTGTCTAATTGTAAGATCGAAACCAAAGCAGTTTCAGGGACCGAAGTTATTATGTCATCAACATACTTCTTTAAAAAAGGCACTTCAAAGTTTATCGTAGGTAAAATTTTGTTTAACACATGATCCATCACGATTTGAGCCAGAATGGGAGAAATCGGAGAACCCATGGGTGTACCAAAAATATTTATTTGTTTATGTACACACCCGTCTTAGTGAGGGGCCTTCATTTGTGGCACGTGTAGTAGTTATAGTTGTAAATGTTCAAAAACGTTTTCTTTCCAACTTGCTAAAATAATAAGAATTAGTATTAGGCAAACTTATTTCTACCATTCGAAATTTAGAGGTTGCAACAAAAAGTATTAAATATTACTTCTGAGAGCCCTGGCAAGATATTAATAATAAAATATAGAGTAATTAAAAAATTATTTATCAACTTTTTCATTATTTAAAATGTTTTGTTCAATTTAAAACTTTTTGATGAAAATACTTAATTTTGTACTGCATTTCATTGCAATCGATCTAAAACTCAAACGAAACTTTTTCAAACATACGTTCCACATTCGTTTAAAAAATTTAATCCATCCATGCGAGTATAAAAGCTCGACGCTTTTGTTCATTTCGATCATTCGAGAAAAAATTAACTCAAAATAAGTATCGGTAACATTAATAAAGATTATTAATCGAAATTAAAATGGTCGAACAAAACAGTCCAAAAAATTATTTCAAAATGCCAGTAAGAAATCTGTTTTTAAGCGGAATTTCAATTTACGACGTCGAAAATCCTTTACTAAGAAAACTCCATCGAGTTTATTCGGTAATTCTTCTTTTAACGTGTGGTTATGGATATGTTATCACCGAAATTATCCACGCGATTAAACATTTTCAAGAATTAGAAGTTTTAACGTTAACTTTATGTTACATTTTTGCACATACTATTGGTAAGAAAATTTAATCTTGTTTTGTTTTTATTTTAAAGCTTTTTAAAGCAATTGGAAAAATTGTTGTCCTCACAATTCGAAGAAAACCCATTGGAAAATTTCTTAAATCTTTAGAAACTGGGGTTTTCTTACCAGATATTGAACGTGGGGGGGTTGAAGAAGTTAATATTATTTCTACAGCTGTTTTACAAACAAACACCCAAGTAAATTAATTTAATTTATTATTAAAGTATGATTCATTTATGTTTTTAGGCAAAAATATTTGGAATTGTGGTAGTTTTAATGTTAGCAACAAAAATTATTCCTTGCATAAGAAATCCAACAATAACAAGATTTACCGCGGATAATAAAACCGAAATAATCCCAGTTTTTCCTTATCCTTCAACCCTTCCTTTTCACGTAGATTATGGGGCGACTCCTTACTATCAAATTGCGTTTTGTTATCAAGTTTTTAGTATAGCTCTTTTCGGTTGGTATCTTGGAAACACAGATACAATAATAACGGGATTAATGATTCATGGAACGGCTCAATTTAGGATTGTTATAAACGCAATTTTAACCGTAACCGAAAGAGCGGCTCGGATGACGCCAAAAAACGAACCAATTCACGATAAATTAATTATGCTAAATTATGTTGATAAGAAGAATAATTTACATTTAATTGAAACGTTCGAAAAATATCAAGGAAAGTATATTGAAAATTTAAGGAAATGCGTTCGGGGTTGTGTTATCCATCACCAAAGTATTATTCAATTATTAGATGATATAGAAAAAACTTTTAGTTTATTATTTTTGATACAATTCTTGGGGAGTTTGATGTCGTTGTGTGTTGGGCTTTACCAAAGCTCGGTTTCGCCAATTTCTGATCCAACATCCGTTAGCATGGCTTCGTTTACAACTGCAATGTTTTTTCAGTTATTAATTTATTGTTGGAATGGTAACGAAATTAGCGTTTACAGCGTTTTAGTCGCTAAAGCAGCTTATAATTGTGATTGGCTTCAAGCTGATAAAGATATTAAAACGAGCATAATGTTGATTATGATGAGGGCGCAAAGACCTTTGTATTTAACGGCGGGAAAGTTTTCGAAAATTTCTTTAGAAACATTTACAGCTGTAGGAAACTCAATTTTTAAGTTTTCATAATAATTTAATGATAAATTTGTTTTTTAGGTTTTAAGGGGATCTGTTTCGTATTTTATGGTTTTAAATAAGATGCAAGAGGAACAAATGGAGACTGCGAAATAGTAATGCTTTTATTATAAAATTTTTGCTTTTTATTTAAACTTTTTGATTCATGTTTTTCAAGAACATGAAATAACTTTGTTAGAACGGACTTTGTAGGTCTGAAGACGCACGGCTAAATCCAAAACTTTCTAGTTCTAGGTAGGTCTAGTGTTAGTTCTAGTTTTAGTTGTTATAATGCAGTATGCAACGTTGTAGATAACTGTTAGAATTTGTGTGCATTAAAATAACAGTTTATGGTGTAAATAAAAAATTTTTCAATACCTTAAAATGTTCTTCTAAATCTCTACTTTCATGTCCATATAGCTATAGAAGCACACTATGCAAAATACAAAATATACCGAACATGAACCATTACTATGTTTTTTAATTTACGATTTTCCACATTTTTTTGGGATATCTAGAAAACTGGACGTGATGGAGAAAAACTAAAGACAGCTTAAGAATCAGCTTAAGATTCTACGTTATAAAAAATATCACAGTCATCTCTCAGTCNCCAATGTGGACACCGAGTAATTTTAAAACAAAGAGATGTAATTTGAAGTAATTTCTCGGGGGTTTTAATGAATCCATTTTGTACGAATGGATATAAGAAAATGACAAGAAATTGCCATGAGTAAAGAGTAAGGGTGCTTAAATAGTAAGGTAAAGCAGAGGAAGGTATGTAATTATTGGTCTTTTAAAGCGTTGTGTAAAGTGTAAAGAGTATTTAAAGGAGGTTTAAAAGTTGTTAGGAGTTCTTTTAAAAGTTTTGTTTTGAGTTTTATTGAAAGAAATTATACGGTCTGGAAAATTAGATGTTTAACAAATTAGTTGGTCTATACTCGACTTTTTCCCATACTTATGATTATTTTAGATGATTCTTGATTATTTGGTTTTATTAAGTACTTATATTATCAAGATAGATATGTCGATTATTAATATAAATGAGGATTTCAAGTAATTTTGGTAATAAAGATCTGGAATTTTGAGATAATGCATTCAAAAATAAGTCCCAGATAGTATAGTGGTCAGTATCCCCGCCTGTCACGCGGGAGACCGGGGTTCGATTCCCCGTCTGGGAGATTTTTTTGTAACTTTGAAACAATTTATTATAAGCAAATCAAAATTTTTGAAAGTAATAATAATAAGAAATATAACACAATTTTAGGAGTTTATCATTCTAAAGGAGTTTTAGTGGGAGCAAAAAAACATAACCCAATTCTACTTGCGTAAGGAATGTATGATAGATAGATTACTCTTGAGGAGAAACAATATGTCATAGTAAAACTTTTTGCTGGCTATATCTACTATAGTGAGCTTATAGGCAGAAAAGACATCGCGCGGTTTCTGCCCATTTCCAGTAAATAACATCATCTTTTGTATATCACGTAACTAAAAGCGCAAGTAGGATTAAAATTTGTCGAATCATAGAATCATAAATATCCATATAGCGTCTTACCGAAATTGTAGTCTTGGATCAAAAAGGTAAACTTCAAAACCGTGACCTCTGAGATCAGCTCATTTCCAAAACAGGCATTCCCATTATTCTTCAATTGTAGTCACATATTTGGACTCAACTTTTTATTGAAATATATCCAAACTTGAAAAATGTCTAAAATATGAGATTTATTTGAAATATTTCAAAGACAACTTTATCTATAAATTAAGCAGGCAAAAGTTAAATGTAAAAATCAAATCTAATGAAATACCAAAAAGGGTAGCAATGGCGGAACTACTGATGCATAAAAGAAAGGTCAAAAAGTTTTATAACAAAATTGCAGATATAACAGTAATCTTTACAGAGAGATAACGTGATGACTATCGGTTTGATTATATACAGAACTTGTCTTTTATGCCAGTGCTGGAAATATTTTATCTTAAAAAATGATGGTATTATGTTTACAGTATTTATGATGTAGGCCGTGGAAACTTCACCTTCTATACATGAGATCCCACAAGTTATAACTTACCATGCTACAACAAAATAGATCATACTAGACTTTCCAAGTATGACAAGTTAAGTTTATAACCAGAAAAGTTTTGTTATTATTTCAACGTTCTTTCAATAAGAAGTTTCGCAATAACTTTGTCAAGGTTGATTGGTAAAGCAACATTCCATGACTTACAAAAATTCATAACTAATTAATGCATCCGTGTATCAATTTGAAATTTTGGGAAAAAGTTATTTTCATTGAGGTATATAATAATGGCTAATGGTAATATAGCTATACTTATAAATAATTATTTCCATATTTTTTTTAATTTTTGAGTCTAGCTCTAACCATGGGCATTGAAAGCTAGAAGACTAAAGGTGACTACAATACAATGTAGAGGAAGAAGTAAAAAAATTAGTATTAATTTTGTCTGTAAGTCTGTGAAGTGATCTTAGACATCATTGCAAAATTGATCACTGTGCTTCACCTTCTCTGAATCGACAACCTAGCATGCACAACCTATTTAGTCGTTGTTTAATCATTATGGACCNTTTTTTAATTTTTGAGTCTAGCTCTAACCATGGGCATTGAAAGCCAGAAGACTAAAGGTGACTACAATAAAATGTAGAGGAAGAAGTAAAAAAATGAGTATTAATTTTGTCTGTAAGTGTGTGAAGTGATGTTAGAATTCTCTGAATCGACAACCTAGCATACACAACCTACTCAGTCGTTGCTTAGTCATTATGGACTTGAGTCATGTTTTCTCACACTAATTCTTTAGCTACTGCTAAAAAATGTAGTTTCCTGCTATCTGTTGGAATTCTTCCCAAAACTTTTGTATAGAATGTAATTGTTTGTCAGATTAATAGTTTAATTGTAAGACTATAAAGTAACACTAAAATCACCTTTTCAAATCTCCCAGGAGAACCGATAACTGCTCTTGCGTTTTGTTTAGCCTTTTATCTCTGCCACCGCTTTATCCATGTTATATCGATTGTATCTTTTATTTTCACTACATTTATGCGTCATCAGCATCTTGTCATCTATAACAGTTACACTAACTCCGAAAAGAAAACTTGATTAAATTACTTATCCTTTCCTGTTAGTCCGTATCTTATAAACTTATTACCTTCACACAGCTTAAAAGTTATTTGACGTGATATTGGATTTGTTGTTGCCGTCGTCGGTCATTGTCGGTTCAGTCATCAAATCTCAATCAATTGCCATTTCAACGTCTTCCTCGGTATACGGGTTTGCAGTCTATACTCCTGGATCTTTTCAACATTTCGATATCTAAATATACATATGTATTTATTGACAACCTGAAACTGTAAGACTATTTGCTCAAAAATAAGTCTTAGATAGTATAAAATACTATATTTTACGCTATACTTCGTTCTGGCTTGTATATGGGCCAGAGTGATAGGAATAGTACAAAATGGAGCGGCTGAATTGGGCCTGGAGTTGAATTATAACAAATGTGGTACACTTGATACATGAATGAAAACTCAAGAGCAGCTCGATGAAGATTATAGACTACAAATTCGTAAAGCATACAAGTATTTGAGCATCCACCAGATAGAAAGAGACTCGCAAAATAACTACCAACTTCTAACAACAAAAATTATAGAAAAAGTCGCATAAATAATGAACTCAGGCCTAAACGCATCCCAAAAGAGAAAACTGTTCAACACGGTGGTGGTAGCCGCTCCATTTTCTACTATTCCTATCTATATACCTATAGGATAGATATATCTATATCTCGTATACAAGCCAGAGCGAAGTATAGTGGTCTATACTCCACTTTTTAACTATAATTATTTTAGATGTTTCTTGGTCATTTGGTTCTATTAAGTACTTATATTATCAAGATAGTTATGTCGATTATTAATACAAATGAGGATTTCAAGTAATTTTGGTAATAAAGATCTGGAATTTTGAGTTAATGCACTCAAAAATAAGTCCCAGATAGTATAGTGGTGAGTATCCCCGCCTGTCACGCGGGAGACCGGGGTTCGATTCCCCGTCTGGGAGAATCTTTTTACATTTTAAAATTTAAAATATAATTAAATTATTATTTTTAATGGATTGATTAATTAATCTTGTTAGTTACAGCCTAAATGTTTGATATAATAATGATTAAATTAAGTATAATTTCCAGATAGTATCATTCTAAAACTTTATCACTGTGTTAGTGTGTGCCAGACTGGACGTCGCGCCTTTATTTCTTTAGACGGAGATATTTGTTTATCCCGTTAAACTTATTATATTTATTGAAACTGTCTAATTGTAAGATCGAAACCAAAGCAGTTTCAGGGACCGAAGTTATTATGTCATCAACATACTTCTTTAAAAAAGGCACTTCAAAGTTTATCGTAGGTAAAATTTTGTTTAACACATGATCCATCACGATTTGAGCCAGAATGGGAGAAATCGGAGAACCCATGGGTGTACCAAAAATATTTATTTCTTTATGTACACACCCGTCTTAGTGAGTGGCCTTCATTTTTGGCACGTGTAGTAGTTATAGTTGTAAATGTTCAAAAACGTTTTCTTTCCAACTTGCTAAAATAATAAGAATTAGTATTAGGCAAACTTATTTCTACCATTCGAAATTTAGAGGTTGCAACAAAAAGTATTAAATATTACTTCTGAGAGCCCTGGCAAGATATTAATAATAAAATATAGAGTAATTAAAAAATTATTTATCAACTTTTTCATTATTTAAAATGTTTTGTTCAATTTAAAACTTTTTGATGAAAATACTTAATTTTGTACTGCATTTCATTGCAATCGATCTAAAACTCAAACGAAACTTTTTCAAACATACGTTCCACATTCGTTTAAAAAATTTAATCCATCCATGCGAGTATAAAAGCTCGACGCTTTTGTTCATTTCGATCATTCGAGAAAAAATTAACTCAAAATAAGTATCGGTAACATTAATAAAGATTATTAATCGAAATTAAAATGGTCGAACAAAACAGTCCAAAAAATTATTTCAAAATGCCAGTAAGAAATCTGTTTTTAAGCGGAATTTCAATTTACGACGTCGAAAATCCTTTACTAAGAAAACTCCATCGAGTT